CTTTTCACTTCACCTACAATGTTTTTCTTTTTGTTTGGTGAAGACTGATAAATAACCAGGTTCAATTCAGGGCTGAGACAAACTCATGAGACAAACAGACCACTTCTGTTTCTGATCTCATTTTTCATAGGTTTAAGTTAATGATCTAAGACTTTTTTATGCACACTATCTGCCCTCTCCTCTTCAATGGCTGTGTGTAGCTACTGGATATAGGCAGGAATTGAAACACACTATCGTACACGTCAATTCAGAGCTTCCAAAACATGCTTAATGTGTGGCATGTCTGGTGAGTATGCAGGCCATGCAAGAACTGAGATGTTTTCAGTTTTGCAACATGCCGTGGATTACCTGGCTATAACATGAGGTCATAGCGGTGGATGACTGGCATGACAATGGGCCTCAGGGTCTCGTCCTGGTATGTCTACACATTCAAATTGCCATCAATAAAATGCAACTGTGTTCATTGTTTGTAGCTTATGTCAGCTTCTGTCACTTCTCTAAAGTGCAAGAGGCCATCAAAGGTGAGCAGTTGCCCACTCAAGTTGGTTACGATGATGAACTGCTATCAGCTCAAGACCCTGCTGAGGACAACGAGCATGCAGATGAACTTCCCCGAGACGTTTTCTGGTGGTTTGTGCAGAAACTTTGCATCAGCTGTCTGGGTGGCTGGTCTCAGACGATGTTGCAGGTGAAGACGCTGGATGTGGAGGTCCTGAGTTGGTGTGTTCACATGTGGTCTGCAGTTATGAGGCTAGTGGACATCCCTACAGTCAGCAAACCAATAGCACATTCATGTTTTGCACATTTCATGAATGAGGCCACTTCACACAACAAAAACCTATCCAGACAGAGACTGTCGAAGGGATTTACGTTGACTGCACAGAAAATAATCAGACCCCAAATTTGATGCTTAACGCTTGCTGTTGTGACTAACATCATTCTGTAACCAACTTAAAACATTAGCATCTGCTGGGCGGTATGACATCAGCTAGAACAAAGAATTACTTTGGTCAAACTTATATTTCTGCAGGCATACATTTGCTGAAATGGAAGTCCATCCAAATCATAAGAAATTATTCCAAAATCACTACAAAATTCCATGTTAGTTTTTGGGTTGAAAATTCATGCTCGGTGTAAAACTGCAAACAACTGCTGACGCAGCAATCTGCTGCAGGCTGAATGAGGAGTTGGTGCAGATATACAGGGGCACTAGTGGCTAATGGCTGGCAGATGAGTACGCACAGAGAGATGATGGGTGATTGTATGGTTAGGACAACTGTGAATCAGGAGAGCCAGGAGAACCACGCCCACACTGACCCCACAGACACAGACAGGGAGGGAGACAGGTAGGAGCACGAGACACAAGGGCGGGGTAAATAGAAGAAACACAGGGAAAGCGGAGGGGAAAAAGGGCATTGGCCATGACACAAGGGGTCTGTGAGTAATGAAAGGTTATTTCATGTTGAAACAAAAGTGCCCCAACCGACCCCCACTCTTTCATACTCAAGAAGTCCACGACCAGGTTTATTTAAGTCACAATTATAAAGGTTTACCTGACTGCATCACAAGAGAGTGTGAGTGAGTGTGTTGTACAGGTAAATTCTGAGTGGATGGTAAAATGAGCCTTTCATCATCAGAGAAAGTCCGATGATGAAAGCCACAGTGGCCAACTGCTTTAAAGACATTTCACTGAACAGATGTAACAAGACCCCCCTATAACTTTATTTCATGATTCTGGATAAAATACTACACTATGACTTTTTTCATGATTTTGGACAACATACTATATGATTGTTTTCATGATTTGGCACAACATACTATACTATGACTTTTTTTCATGATTTTGGATGACATACTATACTATGACTTTTTTTCATAATTTTGGACGACATGCTATACTATGACTTTTTTTCATAATTTTGGACGACATGCTATACTATGATTTTTTTTCATAATTTTGGATGACATGCTATACTATGACTTTTTTTCATAATTTTGGATGACATGCTATACTATGACTTTTTTTCATGATTTTGGACGACATGCTATACTATGACTTTTTTCAGAATTTTGGATGATATACTATAATATGACTTTTTTCTCATAATTTTGGATGACATGCTGTACTGTGACTTTTTTCATAATTTTGGATGACATGCTATACTATGACTTTTTTTCATGATTTTGGACGACATGCTATACTATGATCTTTTTTTCATAATTTTGGATGACATGCTATACTATGACTTTTTTTCATGATTTTGGACGACATGCTATACTATGACTTTTTTTCTCATAATTTTAGATGACATGCTATACTATGACTTTTTTTCATGATTTTGGATGACATGCTATACTATGCCATTTTTTCATGATTTTGGACAGCATACTATGCTATGACTTTTTTTCATAATTTTGGACGACATGCTATACTATGATTTTTTTTCATAATTTTGGACGATATACTATACCATGACTTTTTTTTCATAATTTTGGATGACATACTATACTATGACTTATTTTCATAATTTTGGATGATATCCTATACTATGACTTTTTTTTCATAATTTTGGACAACATACTATACCATGACTTTTTTCATAATTTTGGACGACATTCTATACTGTGACTTTTTTCATAATTTTGGACGACATGCTATACTATGACTTTTTTTCATGATTCTGGACGACATGCTATACAATTATTTTTTTTTATGATTTTGGATGACATGCTATACTATGATTTTTTTTCATAATTTTGGACGATATACTATACCATGACTTTTTTTTTTATAATTTTGGACGACATGCTATACTATGATTTTTTTTCATAATTTTGGACGATATACTATACCATGACTTTTTTTTCATAATTTTGGATGACATACTATACTATGACTTATTTTCATGATTTTGGATGATAAACTATACTATGACTTTTTTTCATAATTTTGGACGACATACTATACTGTGACTTTTTTCATAATTTTGGACGACATGCTATACTATGACTTTTTTCACGATTTTGGATGACATGCTATACTATGACTTTTTTTCATGATTTTGGATTACATGCTATACTATGACTTTTTTTCATGATTTTGGATGACATGCTATACTATGACTTTTTTTTTCATTTTTTTGGATGACATGCTATACTATGACTTTTTTTCATAATTTTGGACGACATGCTATGCTATGACTTTTTTTCTCTTAATTTTGGATGACATGCTATACTATGACTTTTTTCATCATTTTGGATGACATACTATACTATGACTTTTTTTCATGATTTTGGATGACATGCTATAATATGACTTTTTTTCTCATAATTTTGGATGACATGCTGTACTATGACTTTTTCTCATAATTTTGGATGACATGCTATACTGTGACTTTTTTCATAATTTTGGATGACATGCTATACTATGACTTTTTTTCATAATTTTGGACGACATTCTATACTATGACTTTTTTTCTCATAATTTTGGATGACATGCTATACTATGACTTATTTTCATGATTTTGGATGACATGCTATACTATGACTTTTTTTCATAATTTTTGACGACATACTATACTATGACTTTTTTTCATAATTTTGGACGACATACTATACTATGACTTTTTTTCCATAATTTTCGATGACATGCTATACTATGACTTTTTTTCATGATTTTGGATGATATACTATACTATGACATTTTTTCATGATTTTGGATAACATACTCTACTATGACTTATTTTCATGATTTTGGATGACATACTATACTGTGACTTTTTTTTCATGATTTTGGATGACATGCTATACTATGACTTTTTTCATGATTTTGGACGACATGCTATACTATGACTTTTTTTCATGATTTTGGATGACATGCTATACTATTAATTTTTTTTCATGATTTTGGACGACATACTATGCTTTGACTTTTTTTCATAATTTTGGATGACATGCTATACCATGACTTTTTTTCATGATTTTGGACGACATACTATACCATGAGTATTATTTCATGATTATGGATGACATACTATACTATGACTTTTTTTCATAATTTTAGACGACATACTATACTATGTCTTTTTTTTTCATGATTTGAGACAACATACTTTACTTTGACTTTTTTTTTCATGATTTTGGATGACATACTATAATATGAATTTTTTTCATAATTTTGGACGACATGCTATACTATGACTTTCTTTCATAATTTTGGACGACATGCTATACTATGACTTTTTTTTCATGATTTTGGACGACATACTATACTATGATTTTTATTTCATGATTATGGCCTACATACTATACTATGACTTTTCTTCATAATTTTGGATGACATACTATACCATGACTTTTTTCATGATTTGGGACGACATACTATAATATGACTTTTTTTCATGATTTGGGACGACATACTATGCTTTGACTTTTTTTCATAATTTTGGATGACATGCTATACTGTGACTTTTTTTCATGATTTTGGATGACATGCTATACTATGACTTTTTTTCATAATTTTGGACAACATACTATACTATGACTTTGTTTCATAATTTTGGACGGCATACTGTAGTATGACTTTTCATGATTTTGGATGGCTTGCTATACTATGAATATGATTTCATGATTCTGGACGACATACTATACATTTTCTCATTTTTTCAAGACTCTCGTCACCTCGCAGGGCACATTGCTTGACAGGTAAGTTGATAGTATAACTGACAGGTTCCAGGACGCTAGTGTAGGGGGGGGCCTGTTTCCACCAAGCTGGTAAGCTTGTTTAACTCAAGTTACCTCTTGGGTAAATACTAAACTTGTGAATATATTCCTCGGCTACTGAACACTTCATAAGTTGAATGAATTAAATATTATATGAAATGTCTTATCACACTGGTTGATTTCAACATTTTAACTTCCAATACATTTAGTGACGTCTGTAATTGTCTCTGGTTCTTTGTATCTGTATGAAGATGAAAATGAAAGGAAGTTCAGCAGTCTTGAAGTTTCTTTAATCATATTTGAGACAGATTTAATTAAGACTTCTTAAAATATTTAACATAAAATAAACATTTCAAATACGTAACAATTATGGTAACATTTCAGGCATAATTCCTATGTATATAGTTCCCATGAATTTATTCTGTGAATTACCATTTTTAAAATCATGCAGGGAAACATTATTAAAGAAAAACACATCAACTATTCATCACTGGCTTCTAGTGAATAATTGCCAAAAATAACGTCTCCATTAACTATATATTAGTATATACAATGTTCAATAATTAATCTGTTACATGTCGGCAAAAAATAGAACTATGTCAAAACTTAAAACAACTGTGCAATAAATAACATATCTGGATAACTGTAAATCCATGCTGTTGATGCAGTTCATGTTTCTTCGCTCTGCCTCTGCTCACTGCAGTCTGCCTGGAAGGACAAGCAAAAATCTAATTCAGTGGCAATGATAAACACAGACATTTGACATGATCAATTTTCAGGGCTGGACCAAGTCTGTTTGCAGCTTAAAGCAGATTTAAGCTGTTTTAAAATTAACTGTGTTGTGTTAAAAGCTACTGAACAACATTCAGCTTACACAAAATAAATAAATAAATAAAAAATGAGGAAAGTGTGATGGCTGTAAACTCAAACAACTGGTCAGTATAGTCTCTTTATGGAAAGCACACATAAATCCAAAATATCGCCAGTCATGCTCTTGATTTTACTGTCAAAATAGTGGCATAGTTTTATGATTTTTGTCCATAAAAGCTCTGGTGGTTTGGGCAAAGTTTAGTTTGCATTTTTTGTTTGCACAACAAAAACATGTCAAGGAGGTTCTTGATTATGTTATTTCAATACAATGTCCCTCAGCTCCGTTTGTTACCAGAATTTTCATCACAATTAGTTGAGAAAAATGCAATCAATTTAGTCACTGAATAGGAGAGTCGATCATTTTGTTTTGGGTTTTTTTCAGCTTTCAAATGGTGCTGTGAGAGAAAAAAAGTTTGGGAGCCACTGGCATTAGTAGCGTGTTCATACCAAGGAAAAAAGGCTCTGCTTAATTCATCATTTATTTTGACATTTTGGTAACATTAATGTCACCAGTACAAGTATGGTATTTTGGGAGCTAGCACAATCAGGCAGTGTAGCTTCAAATACCCACAGCCCTCACTTATACAACTGCTTACATTTCTTTTATTTTGAAGGAATACCTCGCCCATAAAATGACCATTTGTTTATTGGTTACTCACTGTGTATCCTTGAATTCTTGAAGAAAACTTTGTGTTTATTGCATGTCTCCCCAGTGAACGGAGAATCCAAAACAAGGTCAACATTGTTCATGAATTGAAGTCTTTTGGGACCACATTTAACAACAGTTTACACATTTAGCAAAACTCTATTAAAACATCTATTCACAAACACTCACACAACTCAGGCAGCATAATCAGAGTCTCATTCATCCAGTCATATGCACTGTCAGGCTTTTCTCACAAACTGTTTGTATGTTTTCCTACAAAAATTAATGCACCAATATTGTTATGGATGTAACGTCACTCATGGTGCGCTTATTTGTGGGATGTCATATGCACTGTTGTGCATGCAAAAAGTAGTGTGCCCTACGAATGCCTGAGCACATGCATCCATATGAGCTCCGCTTGAGTAGAGTTTAAACGCATGAGTGTGGCCAGGCACATTATTTGGCCCTGCATTACACTTGAATGTACTAATTTGTTTTAAGTCACTGGGTTTTAGCGAAAATGTGTTTAGGAACAGTGTTTTCCAAGTAAAGAGTTGGGTAATGTTACAGTTACCCCAAAACCAAACAACTCCTTATGTTACTTTTGTTATCACATCATTACTGATCTCAACAACATAATTTTCATAATCGTCACGCTGTGCATGCATGTCACAAAGCAGCAAGCTAGTTTGGAAGGCGGACACTCTTACCTTAAGCAGCTTGAAATATTCCCATTACTTTGATTTTGTCCAGAGGAAAGATGACAAGAATACTATTGCTGCAGATAGTGGTACTGAAACTCTTTCCACTGCAAAAGACACGCCCTAAAATTTCTGGTCTGAACACCAGCTAAGACTGACAGCAGAACAACGTGAAACTCCAGGAAATACACCCCAATAGATTCTCCATTCATTGTGGAGGCATATGCAGAAAATTCACAAATTAAGGTAACATGCGGGGAGGAACTGATATACAAATGGTCATGTTGCAGGTGAAGTATTCCTATGTCTTAGTGACATTTGAATTGTGGACTTGTCTGTTGAACTGTGCCCGTTACTGTAAACCCTCTGTTGTTACATTCATATGTGCTGAGAAGCATGCCTTTGTTTAATAACCTCATACTTCCATAGAATAAGACACAAAGCCCAGCCTGGTTGTATTGTCAGACAGCGCCTTGGTTTAAGTGTCAAACAATGTTCTAATGAGTAAGTCGTGATTATGATCTGCTGTTGGGAAAGTGGGAGAGGTCAGAGACACTTCATTTCCTCTGCATTACAACACAACATTAAATAGCTATCAGTTACAAAACATGCAGTCAAAATTCAACTATATTTATTTATATAGCCATTTATTACAGTGTTGATAAAGATAAAAATGCCTGTATCACCAGCATGTCAACTCTCCAGGACCTAGCCTTGTGTTGGGCTGGGTGACAATGCATATTATGAAGATAATGCACTTTCAGTTTTATGAGTCCAATAGGTAGCAGTATTGAACCCATAAAAGTGAATGTACTGCTTCAACTTGTCTGAAAAATGAAAAATCACTAAATTTTGAGATGCAGTCCATTTCATAAACATGCATTTAACTCAAATCTGGCAATGTGAAACTCTGCAGTTTCAAAATATGTGGTTTTCACAAGCATGTAATACTTCACTTGATTTTAAAAGTGTAAATATTAATAAAGTATTTGTTTTTCACCTGATAGTGTCAAACGAAGTATCAAAGGATGTCACGGACACAGGAAAAAACAAAAAACAAACAAAAAAGCATAAAAAAATGAATGAAAAAAGCCACACATATTTACTTTATCCAACAAAAACACATGTGCAAAAGATCAAATGGTCTACCAAACATAGTCTGGGCCGTCTAGCAGAACTAACTTCACATACATCATGTGTTTGTCCCTGTCAGACTAATATAAATCAGATCTAATTACTAGAGCTCCCTCATTCGAGCATTTGATCTCCCATTTTGTCCATCTCTTAAGTTCGGCAACCCCTTCTCACCATATTAAAGAGACTTGGTCTAAGGATACAGGTGAAGTGATTTCAGATGAATTATGGGCGAGAGGGTTACAAAGGATTAAAATATGTTCCATTAATGCTAGACTTCAGCTCACTCAGTTTAAAGTCATTCATTGCCTGCACTTCTCCAAGGCCAAACTGAACAGAATATTCCCTTCTTTGTCCCCTACCTGTGACAAGTGGGGACCTTAGGTCACCTTTTCTGGTCTTTTCCCAAACTCAAGAATTTCTGGGTGGACATTTTCAATTGTATAGAAACAGATATAGCAAACAGTAGTCCCTGGGTCTCTCACCGTGATACTGGGTTGTTCTGATTACATTACAGCAAAGTATTATGTTTGGTATAGTTGGTATGGCTAAATGACATGGTTTCTTGCCCACATCTTGAAGAAATTTGGTACACTCTTTCTAACTCATCAGGTTTTCTAAAATCTGGGGACCCTTTATTGAACATATCAAAAGGGTGAGGATTCAAGTGGACTAACCACATTGGACTACTTCCTTGTATTGGACTGAACACTGTGCTTCGATCTTCCAAGACACAGTTGACCTTCCCTGAACACTTACGGTCAATACTTCATTGATGCTATCGCTCTGCCTCAACCTTCCTGTGGACACAGTATGAACTGACGTATAATTGTACTGTTTTTGTATAACTGATACTAATTTTACTATTATTTATTTATCTTTTAATTATTTATTTTTTTGTTTTCATCCTCGTCTTTTCCTTTTTTTCCTGTCCTGTATTTCTTATGCATGTACAGTACAGGCCAAAACTATGAATGAACACATGTGGAGTTATGTACTTAACAAAAAAAGGTGAAATAACTGAAAACATGTTTTATATTCTAGTTTCTTCAAAATAGCCACCCTTTGCTCTGATTACTGCTTTGCACACTCTTGGCATTCTCTCCATGAGCTTCAAGAGGTAGTCACCTGAAATGGTTTTCCAACAGTCTTGAAGGAGTTCCCAGAGGTGTTTAGCACTTGTTGGCCCCTTTGCCTTCACTCTGCGGTCCAGCTCACCCCAAACCATCTCAATTGGGTTCAGGTCCGGTGACTGTGGAGGCCAGGTCATCTGCCGCAGCACTCCATCACTCTCCTTCTTGGTCAAATAGCCCTTACACAGCCTGGAGGTGTGTTTGGGGTCATTGTCCTGTTGAAAAATAAATGATCGTCCAACTAAACGCAAACCGGATGGGATGGCATGTCGCTGCAGGATGCTGTGGTAGCCATGCTGGTTCAGTGTGCCTTCAATTTTGAATAAATCCCCAACAGTGTCACCAGCAAAACACCCCCACACCATCACACCTCCTCCTCCATGCTTCACAGTGGGAACCAGGCATGTGGAATCCATCCGTTCATCTTTTCTGCTTCTCACAAAGACACGGCGGTTGGAACCAAAGATCTCAAATTTGGACTCATCAGACCAAAGCGCAGATTTCCACTGGTCTAATGTCCATTCCTTGTGTTTCTTGGCCCAAACAAATCTCTTCTGCTTGTTGCCTCTCCTTAGCAGTGGTTTCCTAGCAGCTATTTGACCATGAAAGCCTGATTCGCGCAGTCTCCTCTTAACAGTTGTTCTAGAGATGGGTCTGCTGCTAGAACTCTGTGTGGCATTCATCTGGTCTCTGATCTGAGCTGCTGTTAACTTGCCATTTCTGAGGCTGGTGACTCGGATGAACTTATCCTCAGAAGCAGAGGTGACTCTTGGTCTTCCTTTCCTGGGTCGGTCCTCATGTGTGCCAGTTTCGTTGTAGCGCTTGATGGTTTTTGCGACTCCACTTGGGGACGCATTTAAAGTTTTTGCAATTTTCCGGACTGACTGACCTTCATTTCTTAAAGTAATGATGGCCACTCATTTTTCTTTAGTTAGCTGATTGGTTCTTGCCATAATATGAATTTTAACAGTTGTCCAATAGGGCTGTCGGCTGTGTATTAACCTGACTTCTGCACAACACAACTGATGGTCCCAACCCCATTGATAAAGCAAGAAATTCCACTAATTAACCCTGATAAGGCACACAAGTGGAAACCATTTCAGGTGACTACCTCTTGAAGCTCATGGAGAGAATGCCAAGAGTGTGCAAAGCAGTAATCAGAGCAAAGGGTGGCTATTTTGAAGAAACTAGAATATAAAACATGTTTTCAGTTATTTCACCTTTTTTTGTTAAGTACATAACTCCACATGTGTTCATTCATAGTTTTGATGCCTTCAGTGAGAATCTACAATGTAAATAGTCATGAAAATAAAGAAAACACATTGAATGAGAAGGTGTGTCCAAACTTTTGGCCTGTACTGTACATATAAAATTTTGTGTACACTTTAAAGTTGTTACTTGTGGACAGGTCACTGTGTTATAAGAATCTGAAGGGTTTTTTTTCCCAAATACCTGGGCAGCTATCAGTATCTTTGGATAAATTCATTGATTTACCTGTTGCTTGATGGCTCCCATTCATTCAGAGGATCTCAGGGATTTACTGAATAGAACCCAGTCCTGTTCTTCTTGGGTACATCCCCCTGTTGAAAAACACAAGAGGACCAAGTTCAAACGTCCCATCACGCTATCAGTAAATAAGAAATACACAGTGATACAAATATGTAAGCAAAACATAATCATTGCACAGGTCCAACTGTACTTGCAGTACTTACAATAATAATAGGGGTTGAGTCCGGTCTCTGCATCACTGGGGGTGGAGGTGAGTACACAGGCACAGGGTCCTGGGGTGGTTGTTTCTTTACAGTGTGATATGGATCCTCAGCAGTGTCCATTTGACCGCTTTCCGTTTTCTTACAACACCATTTAACCAACTGAAACAACAGAGTATCAAAATAGAGTTCAGAGAGTAGACAGTAGAGTGAACAACTATATCATGAAGCTACGTCCTAGTTCATTTCTTCCAACAAATGAAATGGTCTTTAAAGGAGTCAGAAGTCAAGAAAGTGATCCTAAACCACACCCCAAAATCCTGCACTCGGTCTCGCACAAACTGAAACAACTGCCCAGCACTCTGTGGGAGCTGGGAGCCACAAAGGATGCACAAGTTGTGTCCTTCACATTTTTTTTGTCACATTTGGAGCAGCCATCAGTATGGGACAGGCTTGTAACAGAACATGCATGAAAACAGCTGCTGCTGGAAACCATGCTGTGAATTGTTTCCATCTGTTACCAAAACTTAATACTGTTACTGTAATAAGTCACACAGAGCCTCGCAACAAAAACTGTGGAATGAAAAAGTATATTGTACTAAACATGTTTCACTCACCATCATGATAAAGATGATTATGAGAATCAGCAAGATAACAGCAGCTAATACTAAGAGGGCAATACCCCATCCAGGCACCAAATCATTGCTCCCATTGCTGCTGCTTCCACCTGATGTCGGGGGATCTTTGGGCTTTCCAGTTGAAACACTGTGAGAATCTGTGCGATTGTCATGCGGATTCACAGTTGTGTTTTTCATTGCTGGGCCTTGTGTGGGATTTCCACTTCCACCTGTTGTGTAAAGGTCACTATGGTCTCCATGATTTGTCGTGGTGGTTGAAATCGGTACAGTTTTATCAGAAGAGGTGTTTATTTTGCTTGAAGATGTAGCTGGAGGATCTCGGCTAGTAGTAGTAGCAGATGTGTGTGCTAGAGTTGTTAGTTCAGTGGTAGTTACAGGTGTAGTGGTAGTTGTACTAATTGTAGGTGTTGTGAGTATGGTAGTTGTAGGTGTTATGGTTGTAGGAACTGTATGTGTTGTGGGTATGGTAGTTATAGGTGTTGCAGTAATTGTTGGTGCTGTGGTTGTAGTAGTTGTAGCTGTTGTGGTTGTAGTAATTGTAGGTGTTGTGGGTTTTATAGTTGTAGGTATTGTGGTTGTTGTAGTTGTCGTAGGTGTTGTGGTTGTTGCAGCTGTAGGTGTTGCAGTAGTTGTTGGTATTGTGGTAGTTGTAGTAGTTGTTGGCATTGTGGTTGTAGTTGTAGGTGTTGTGGTGGTTGTAGTAGTTGGTGGTGTTGTGGTTGTAGTAGTTGTAGGTGTTGTGGTAGTTGTAGTAGTTGGTGGCGTGGTTGTAGTTGTAGGTGTTGTGGTTGTTGTAGTAGTTGTTGGCGTTGTGGTTGTAGTCGTTGTAGGTGTTGTGGTTGTTGTAGTAGTTGTGGTTGTAGTTGTAGGTGTTGTCGTAGTTATTGTAGTTGTAGTAGGTGGTGTTGTGGTGGTGGTAGTAGTCGTGGTTGTAATTGTAGACAGTGTAACTTCCTTTACGCTGTCAACTAAAGAAAAACAAGAATTACTGATTACATATGTAGAATGCCACTTGAAAACACATGTACATGACTGAGTGGATTAATTGAAATTACATGCACAAAATGAGAACTTACGGCTTGAGAAGTCCAGATCAAGTTGAAGAGTTTTGGGTTCAACACTGTTGACATTGTTAACAAATAAAAAATAGACGATGACTGGATTGATAGATGTGGTATCGAAGACTATAACTGCATCTGCGATCACAGATCCCGAGCTGTGAAAGAAAACAAATCAAAATATCAGTGTCTTTTCTGTTTGTCATGATGCTGCACTGTTCTGTTCCTGTTGGGTCTTTGCTGCTGCTCTCCCTGCCTTAGGCTTTCTATGTAGGCGCATGGAAGGGCATAGAGGTGTGATCTCTATGCTCTTCCATGTGCCTACATAGAAAGTCTAAGGCACATGGAAGGGCACATGGAAGGGCATAGAGGTGTGATCTCTCTGCCTTAGGCTTTCTGTGTAGTCTTGGAAAGGCAGAGAGGCCCCAGAACAGAGCCACGCTGCCAAATATAATACTGCAATATGGAAATAAATTTGTCTTTGACTGAGGTGGTCCTGACTGAAGTATTATCATAACCTAGATAAGTAAGTGAAACACAATTATATTTGTCTTTTGTGATATTCTGATAAGAGGATAATTTCAACTCTCTCTGCAAATAATTACCTCTACTTCAACTATATATAGTAGGCTAGTAGTTCTAAAAATACTGATATATTAACTCCTGTTGCATAGGATAATGATGATAATAACAATAGTGCATGACCAACGGTTTGCTGTTCTGCTTATGGTTTTGCTTGGAAGTGGAGTCTGCACTGCCCCTCTCACATAGCTTAATGTATACACCTAAATGCAGTAATTGGACGACAGAGAAATTAATGATACTGATGATACCTGAAAGTCATTTCTACAGGACCTCCATAGAAACTACTTGTTGGACATGTCTCAGAGCAGCCGTAGACGCCTTGTAACTGCAAAAGACAAAAACAAATACAGATCAACACCTTATAACTTAACTTTGGAATACAAACTTGATGTAGTGACAGTTGACAGCATGGACTTTTATGTAAGGCTGAGCACATACATCATTTCTGCTACCTTGTGCACGAACTGCAGATGAATTGCATTCAGACTTTGTAAAACTCATATAGCGATCCAGACCAATGGGTATGAAGTTTGCCCCTCTCGTGTGAATATCTACAGTATCTCTCATACTCTCTCTGTCATCTCTTGCACAAAATGACCTCTCTAACACTGCCCTATCAGGATCATATGATTGTGGATTTTGCTGGCCTCCTTGCTACACAGTACATTACATGAAAAACATACTACTTGCTACATAGGCACTGAAAGTTGGCACTGGACATAAATTGTAATTTGGGTGATTGTCTAATAGAGCCAATCACGATGTTTGTAAAAATAACTACATAAAATGAAATAGTGTGGAGCAGTTGCTGCCTCAATTGGTTCGTTTTTAGCCACCTTAAAAAAGGCCCACCTAAAAATATTAATATTAAGTGTGCGTTTTATTTAAAATATTTTCCCCACTTACCTTAAGCTGTTTTCATGCACTGTTGGTATGTATACCTATGAAATCATGAGCCAGTAATTCATGCATAACCCATGTAATCGGGAAGGCTGCAATAGTATAAAGACCGGAAGTTTGTGTAAGGGTTAGGGTCTCTTTATACATCACTGGTAAGGAGGAAGGTTGACAAGACTTTCTCCCAGTAGGTGTTTGAACCAAGTGAAACCAAGTGCTTTGAATTATTTTAAGGTATGTCGTCACCATGTTTCTTTCCTAAACTTAACCATAGTAACTTTACTTGCCTAAACCTACGTCTAGTATGTAATGTCATTTCTGGGGTGTTAATTTGATAGATATCATATGAACCATTGTATGTGCATTTTTATAAGAGAATGAACTAACTGTTGGACGAGAATACATTGTTTACTTTGTTGTCAGACAGCCTTTTCCAAAAGGGAACTGGACCCGTTATCTCACAGCCACCTGACTCTATTGACAAAAACAATAATTTTACTTTGCAGAACACGGGAGTTGCAGGGCCTACCGCTGCTTCAACTGGTTTGTGTTTAAGAGAAAGCAGAAAAAATATTCCAAGCATAGCATACAATTAAAGTGATATTAATTTTTTCAGGTGGCTAAAATTCATTTTGCTGCAACCCCTGTCCACAGCAATACAATTCCGAGCTTTGGTGCTGTACAAAATAAAAGGACACTGTTACAGGCAAACCCCCTCATGGCAACAATTTTCTTCGATGACAGTGCCCCCCACCCCACCCCCCCAAGGAATATGACAAAGACAAGACAAAGACCCAAAGACATTGACCTGGTCTTTAAATTCCCCAGTTCGACTGAGCATCGGTGGGACGTGCCAATAAACTAGACGTACCACCCATCCATGGTTGGGCCTCTGTGGTTTGGATATAGCTCTGACATGTCAAGGTATGGACACAGGAAGTCTGGGGATGCACTGTGATGTCTGGCGCCAGGGTCGTCACGGCAGATCCTTTGAGTCCTGTGGGTTGCGAGATGACGTACCAGCATGCCCCAAGGATGCTTGACTGGATTTGGATCTAGGGACTTTGGAGGCCAGGCCAAGGCCTTAAGCTCTTTGTCATGGTCCTCAGGCCATTCCTGAGCAGTTTGTGTGGTGTGGCATGACACATTGTCCTGCTGGGGAGGGATACTGCCATTGGGGATTGGTGTTGCCATGAGGGGGTTTGTTTGGACCGCAGTGGTGTTTGGGTGGGTTGTGCGTCAAGTGACATCCACATGAATGCTAGGACCCAAAGTTTCCCAGCAGGACATTGCATTGTAACGAGATGATCAATGTTATTTACTTCACCTGTCAGTGGTTTAAATGTTTTGGCTGATTTGTGTACATTAACTGTTCAGTTAAACTGTGGTTTCTGTTAATTAAATTTGTCACACAAATGTCTTAATGCTGTTTAAAATGTTTTCCCCAGTACCAGGAATAAAATTCTGTCAGAGAAATACTGAACACATCATATATATTCAGACTTTAAAAAGTCAAGGATAGACTAGAGATTAAAGGACTTGAATGAGCTTATAACATACCACCGATATAAGTTTTTAACTGTGTAATAACAACATGTTGCTGTTATTCATCTTACCAGGTCACTGACTTCTTGAAACATGGTCTTATATTCTGGAGATGTTTGATCGAGCAATGCATTGCTGAAGACCCTGTTGGTGATCTTCAGTGGCAAAATGAAGGCTGTCTGTGGAGTAGCGCTGAGTTGCTCTGCACTGCTTAAATCTTGCAGGCGAAGAGACTGAGGAGCCAGAAGACCTGCAAGTTTTAGTGTGACAGAGAGAAATGTATAAGAATATAACTCACACATTGAGGTTCTGATTGAATCTGATTGTCAAAGCCCTGGATATGGCCACAGCCTTGCACCCTCATACAGGAGGAAATAAAGATTCATAACATTGTCTAAATATCAGAAATGTTTTTATATATTGATTTTTAAACACATGATTTTTAAACACATGAACTACTGTAGCATTTTTCTTCTGCATGTGACCCCCATTTACCCTGTAAGATTGCTTTAAATTTGAGCTGGGCATTGTTTTGTAATCTATTTTCAACAGCATGAAGATAACTGCAGATGGACTAAGTAAAACAAAAATAAAAAAATATAGGCCATAAAGAAAATATCAAAATCAGTCACATATCTGTGACCCAATTTAGATATCCAGCAGTTGCACATAGGGTAAGCTCAGAGGCTGCGAAAGCGTGGCCCGTTTAATACAATGCACTGATTGGAATCTCTGAGAGCGCATTCACCAGAATCGGATTTTATGCAAGTAAAAACAACTTTCTTCTTCTTTCTGCTTCTTTATTCCTTTTTTCTACCATGTTATGTTTTTTTAAATAAAATGCTAAAAGAAATCAGTTTTTAAAATGTACTAATTATCTCCGTATTGCATTTGTATATTTACCAATAATTTCTTTTTTTGTATATATCTAGTTATGATCTGTGCAAAATAACTCCACTTTCAATAAAATGCTTTAACTAACTAAAAACAGCTTTTAAGACAACTAATAAATTTTCAATCTCAACTTTTAAGCCAAAATTGACACGCTTTTAAAGTACTCAAAGAAATTGAAATTTGAACATTTATAATTCTGTGATAACTGGACAACTCCAACAGCTATAGAAGACAGTGTGATATGATTGGAAACTCCAGAACAGCTATCAACTGGACCTTGTGATGAGATGAGCCAAAAAAAACAAACAAACCCAAAAAACAATTTCCAGTGGGGCATCTGACAGGCCATTGAAATGCTTGATTCATACTGCCTCTATTTTGGCATTTAAACCTCTAGTCTCTTGAGCACATTTAGTGAATCACCAAATATTCACATTTCACAAAACCATGCCAATAAATGGGCTAAAATATGCAAGAAAAACAGTTTAACTTACTTAAAGGACTTTAAGTATGACATTTTACTTTCTTTGATTAGTTGTAAATGATACAAATCCCAGGAGCAATGTTCATTTTATTCTTCCAGCCTGCTATTAATGCTTTACTTTTGCTTACCTGAAGTAGCCATGCTCACTAAACACAGAGCACTGGTCCAAAGCCATCTCACTTGCACCATGGTGAATACAAGCCAGTAAACGTTAGTCCAGTACTGCTCTGGTGATCTGTGGGATGTTCTTGCTTGATTACAAAAATGGTGTTGTAGTCCTTAATGTCCAGGGTTTTATTCAGTCAGGATAAAAATGGGCATGGATTAGAGGCTGGCCCACAAATGAATGATATCTCCTCTACATTACTGTTCCTGTGTTTCAGACGTAAAGGCAAATCTGCCTCACATACACCCTCAGAGTTTACTTTGGCTAGAAAATAGAGCTTAAATTAGTTTGTTTAGATATCGGTGTGCTGCATAAACCCTTTATTACAATTATTATCTAATCTTAAATTTACTTGCAGAAAAAGTGTATTCAGAGCCTGCTGTATACTCCATTGTCAGGGTTGATAGCCAATCTAAAAGCCTTAGGAGAATGCTTCATGTTTGTCGTAAATAAATCTACTGAGACAACTTTCCTGCATAGTTTCCCACTCTCTAGGGTTGACTTGAGTTACGCACACAGCTGTTATTATTTGTACGTAACTGTACCTGTAGGTAGCTCTATTTGTAAATGTGTCTCTGCTACTGGTACTACTGCCACAATCACTTAACAACGCAAAGAGATTAAAGGAATACTTCACCCACAAAATGAATTGCATATCAATTAGTCATGTCATATCACCAATTAGAGAAAATGTTTTTTCTCAAATGCCTACACAGTAAATTGCATACATATTGATTTATTGGGGACCACGTTTAACATCAGCAAAACTAAATAAAAACATCTGTTTACAAACTCTCACACAATTCTTATAGTATAATCCAAGTCTCATTTATCCGGTTGTATTTTAAGTACTTCCTAAACACATGCATTTTTGCTAAAATCTTAAAACTGAACTCTAAAACTGAACTGAAAGTAGAACTTATCTATGCTCTCTTCAAAGCCAGACCCTGATACTAAGGGTTTTCTTTGTGAAAATGCATGTTTTTTGGAAGTCGTGAGCAGGATATAATTTGCATCACTCCTGGGTTTGTTCTGTTGTTAAATGAGCTTTTGGAATGATGAATATACACTGGCAAGCCACATTATCAAAGGCCATGGAGGTCCATCCAAATTTCCCACCACACACACATCATTGGCTGTTGTGTATTCCTATGCAATTTCTGCCTTAACAGGAGAGAGTTTGGATTATGTTTGGACAGTCATTGCATGCAGTGCACAAATAATACTGTTTTTTTTTTTGTTTTGGTTTACTGGAGGTCGTCTGTGCCTGTGTGTGCAGTATAGGCTGGTCTTTGTTTGCTGCAAGAAGAAATAAAATCCAGTAAGAAATAGGCCATCTTCTTAAATTGATTAAACTGTTTTATTGTATTTTTTCTACTCTTTATTTATGTTCCTGACTTTTGAAGTACTTCACATTTATTTTTATTTCTCTTAATATGTTTATTGTATGCACCAAACACAGAGGCAAATCTACCACCAGCTTGAGCACTATCACACTGAAAATTTCAAATTTTCACAACACTAACAAGCTTGATATGAATACATGTGTCAAGATAACAAAAATTCATACTCTTCTCCATGAAACCAGTTATTATCCCAAATTTACATGTGCTGGACTGGTAAAATCTCAGGTACTAAGACTCAGCATGTATAGCCAAAAAGAGGACTTCAAACAGGCCACGATGTTAAGATGTTATTTTTCAGTCTTGACCACTAGAGGCTACCCTAGGTCCTTCCGTAGGGGAGTCTACAGTCCAACAGACCAGGCCTCAGTAGTTTCAACCTTAAACCCTTTGTCACTACATATTCTCCATCAGCTTTGAAATTAGTCAGTGATCAAAACTGAATTCCAAAATCTTAAAGGAGGATCTAGGACCACAGGGTGTAATGTTTGTGAAGGTTATGTGTATTTGTGGCACTCACTTGGGTGATGCCTCAGTGTCCAACTATGTTTTGTGCACTTACATAAAGTTCATGCAGTTACATATAATTCTATGAGCCAAGGTTATGGAATTTGTTGGTTTGCTTTTGTGATCTACTGATGTGATGGAATTGTAAATGTAAGATAACTACGGTTGTCTCTTGTTTGGGTTTTATTTAAATTCGTCATTGTTCTAAATTGTCTACAAAGTCATTTTGTCTTGTTCTTGTGTTTTGCGTGGATCCCAGGAAGAATAGTTGTTACTGCTATAACGACCAATGGGGATCCTAAATAAAGAATAAATAATAAAGGGTCATTGCAGAGTTACAGCAAAAACAAACCTACAAACCTACCTACAAGTCAATGTCAATGTCAAACCACTGTTGACTCCAAAATCCACTGATAATGGGGAATTATTAAACTACTAACCTTGGCTGCACAGAAAGACAAATTTTTAGCACAAAGACAAATCAAGTTTTTAAGACAAATCAACGTGGGAGCCCTTATTTTAAAAACGATTTACTTAATACGCAATGTGGTTTGCAGTATGTGGATGAGACTGGCAATAACGTATCAGTAACATTCACCCAACATAGACACAATATTTTGAGGAAGATGGAGACACAAACTCCACTAGTACAGCACTTCCTACAAGATGTATGGCACTCTGTTTAAGCCACTGCACTACAATTTAAAATACTTTATTTCTACCTCAAGGGGCAATTAAAGGCATCGAGAGTGCAAAGACAATTATTTACACACAGTAAAAAGCGATCTAAAAATACAAATGTCATAAATGTGCAAAAAAGAAATATCTAAAGACTAATGGCAGTAATATCTAACACCACAGAGGCACACATTATGTTCAGTAAAGAAAATGAAAAGCTCAAAAGTCCAAGTACAAATAATTGGTCTATACTACAAGGGGTAAAGTAATCAAGTTCTGTGGCTGCAAGTTTAATGGCTGCTGACCTTTTTTCATGACATCTGTATTTTCACTAAATCTGTCATCCAACACAGTTCCCAAGTATTTGGTCTGGATATTTCCAACACTTGTGTTATGAATGACTGTTGGAAGACTGTCTATGATCCTGTTTGCACCTGGTATTAACATGTCTTGAGCACTCGGCTCAAAAGTGGACAGCATTTAATAAAAAAAAGTGTAGATAACCACCGAGACGCTTTGTGATCCGATCACTCAAACCACTTGCTGAGGTGGTCTGGGAGGCATTTGACCAAATATCTTTTATAAATGCTGTCCTGATGCATCTCCTACAAAGACTGGATCATCAATGGCTGTTTTGGTGACAGCTGCTAACATTCTACAACTTGCCCAGTTTACAAGGAGTTGGACAAAAGGTTGTTGACAGTGTTATCTTCGTTTGTACCAACACAACCACTAACATGACTAATGAGCAGATAGCGAGAGTGCGGATGTCATAACTGTGCGCAGCACCCTTTGATCTTTAGCATATGTGACATAGGCTGTAATAAAACCTGAACACAAGCGGTCAGCTGGAGACATTTGATAGAGACACTTGTCCATGACAATGTTTCTTGGCAGTCCGCTTGTGTCCAGATCACTGAAATGCATGTTTAAACAGGCTCACTGTATGTGTTTCATTGAGATCATATTGCCTTAAATTTTAGATACAGTTAAATCCCAAAATTTTAGAATTCTTAAGGCTGAACTAGTGAACTGAAGTGCAAGACACAAAGAAGCAGGAGGTTGAGTTACCCAAGATTGTTTATTGCAGGGAGCATGGAATGGCTGTGAGCCAAGAGTTTCACTGAGCAGAGGGGAAGCCTGGGCTGAGCAGACGAAGAAAAACTGAGCCAAGCAGGGCAAATCTGGAATGAAGCTGAGCTGGGGATCCAGTGCAGGGAGACAAGGCAAACAGGATGAGATCTAAAGACAGAGACCTGAGCAGAGCAGACAGAACTGCAGTTAAATGAGAAACAAGATTTGGCTGAAGTAAGAAGGCAGTGAGTGAATATATGAGAGGCTTCAACGCAGACTGGCTCAACAGTCACTACAATCTGGCAAGGTGGATGTGGAAGAGCTGAGTCTTATAAGGAGTCTTGATTGCAGGATAGAGGGCAGCTGGTGAGGCTCTTCTCTGCTCTGGCACACCTGTCTCCACTCAGGCAGGCAACACAGAGGGAAAAGGAGAGGGGGAGTGAAAGCCAAGCTAGGCTTTGCAGATATGAAGGGTGTAGCGCAAAGCAAAATTAGTTGCTTAGCGAGGTATGTTGAGTCTAAAGAGTTTTCTGTCCTGTGAACTTGACTCTTTTTTAACCTGGTTAGATTGCCATGATAACTTATACCTAAACTCCTGTAAAATAACTAATGAAACAAGGTACTAAAAGAATGCCGGTTAGTCTTTAGTGGTGGTGGAATAACACATTTAAAGGTTATAGCCATGGTCAGCTATTGATAGGAAACCAGTATGGGTACACCAGGACATCAGCCAGCTGTGGACCGCCCTGGTGCCACAACAGCTCTTTTACATGCACAAAAACCTGACACAACCCCACCAACACAAACAGGGAACCCCTGCTTCCTCCACACACCCAGCAGGGGCTGTCTCATGGCTGCCTGTTCACCCAAAATCATTTCCAATGGCTACAACCACCACAGCCACCATGACACATCAAGGGGAGACTGGTCGACTATGATGGAAGATGAGGAGGGTGACCTCATCCCTTCCACATCCCGCCTCTTCCCCTCTACCCCCTGCCAAAAAAACATCAGAAAAGGTCCCTCTTAAAGACCACAGGGTCAAACCAACCCCCACCTTCAAGCCTGCACCCCATGTCCCCACCCCTCCTACACCCAACCCCTGTGCAGTAAACTGACTTCTATTTTGGACTTGTCAACAGCGAAGTTGGAGATTTTGCTAGATGATCCTAGGGTGACAACACCAACCACACACCAGCTCATAATCCTAGACTTTGCTTTGACATGGGTAGGCTTATACAGCAATACAACCATACTTTATTAAACACACAAGTCTCAGGCATTTTCAGATAAGTAATTTGCTAGCGCTTGCTAACTTTACTCGCTGTTTAGACATTGCAGCCGACTAGCTGCACACACGGCATATGAAGTTACGTCACAAAACATTAACGCCATGCCCCTTTTGGGGGATAGAAAGGGGAGAAGGAAAGGAAAATTCAGAGTAAGTTCTCCTCTTTATCCAGCCTATTTCCCCTAGACATCACTGAGCTTAATACAGTGTCAATGAGATTATGACCATTTTCTCATAATTCTTAAATTCAGCTCCTGAGAAATAGCCTTCCTCTTGTCCCAGCCCGATCTTAACATAAGATCCTAAAATGCTCTTTTTCCTCTCTCACTGCAGTCATCTTTATTTGTCTGAGATAATTGAGATAACAGTAAGTTCCAAAAGAAAACTTCATTGGCTTGTAAATGATTCTTCGCAATTTCAGAAATATGCCTCTGAAATTTACATCTCACCTCAGTGCATTTTATCTGTTCTCAGAGTTGACAAAGTCTGAGAACAGAAAAGAACTCCTGCTCCTTTATAATTTTGCTCTGTATCAACTCATAAAACAGTTCATATGATATCCTAAGAAAATGGAGACACAACAATTCGTATAATATCCTACAAATTAGTGCCCCACGAATGACATTACACCCTTAATGTACAGTTACATAATTAATGTAAAGTTATAAAGGTTAGGTTTAGGCAACTGTGACTACAGCCTTTCAAAATTCGTCGGATATGTACGAATTTTGGTACATTACTTTTCGCAGGAAAATGCACAACTAGTTTATGAAACAGCCTCAGTATTAAGACATGGCTGTAAAGAACTCTCTGAACATGAAGTGACAGAAACGCATTGCTTGGCGAATGTCAGATTCCATGTTTGGAGGTTGAAAGGTTTTGAAATGTTGAGTAATGTAATGTCTGGTAAAGTAAAAAATGGTGATGAAATTGTAAGTCTGTGAGTGGGGCTGTATAACCTGCAACCTAATTCAGAAGGAAAAGGAGGAAGAAGGAAAAAACATTTGACATGTCTTTTTAAAACTATATTGCAGATTTACATCTGTGCATAATCTATAGGAAGTTCATTAACATTTGCATTCCTCTGTGGCTGTACAGTCAACTCATGATGTAAAATGTTTCCAGGTATCATGGCAAAGCATGCTTTCTCAGAGGATGATAGTGTGGAATGACATCTGCATCTGTCTCAAAGGCTAAAGCTGTGACTTTCGTACTTTTCCTAGGTCCATGATCTGGTCCTTGAATTTTCCCAGCTGTGTCTGGGAACACATTTTTCCAGGTGGATTTATCCCAGTCACTCAGTTGAAGACTTGGGTTATAGCATCTTTCACCATGTATTGTATGACTGCAATATTTCCCTATGTTGGTTAGACAGTCACAGATCACATCCACAGCTTTGCCATCCCTCCTCTGCAAAATTAACTCAACATTATGATTGTGAATGGACTGAGAGTATCGACCAAGTCATTTTAGAATGATTTGTTCATCATCTGGTACAGTGTGCAGTATTTACCAACCCATCTAGAGCTCAGGTAAATTTGTCCCTCTGTAAGTGACTTGGCATTTTGTTGCTCATCATATGCCAATGCCAAAGTATTCATCAAACAACATGATTTTTTTAGTGACATAATGTATGAGCTGACTTTGTCATTGGGATGGAGGGCATGGTGGATGGTGTGTCATCTAGAGGAGACACCTGCCAAACTGCAGATCACTGTTTGAGACCAACAAACAGTGGTTGTTTTTTGGCGAGTCACTGCTTTGTTTCCACTGACTTTTTAGGCGCCAAACAGAGGTGTTGTTTAGCTACAGGTAGCTGTTTTTCCACCGGGAATAGTGCCACGAAAAGCGTTTGTTTTTTACAGACATTTGTGTGTTTCCTGCCAATATAGTGGCACACTACTTTTCCAGTGGGGACTGTGCCAATTTCAAGCCAAAACATAATCTTTTCCTAGCTATAACCAAGTGATTTTTGTGCATAAACCTAACCATGCGTTAACCACAGTGTTGTTCAAACAAAAAGTTTCAACATATTTGTTACATAATATCATGCAAATGTAACGGATCTGTAGTTTGCAGAAACATACAATGCGAACAGTTTTTCTGGTGATTGGGTTACATCACTTGAAATGATATTATTGTAACCAACAACCAACTGCAACTGAGCTACTGTGTGTCACTAATATTAGTATTACAGTAGCTCTAGTTGTATCTGTGAATCATAATGGTCATATTGGCATAATTTTATAAACACTGTCCGGTGGGGCTCTACAGCTTTCAGGTTTGAGCATGTTAACAACTGAGTTAATCACATTAATCAAAGCTACACAACCTTGTCAAACAAGGGAATTAGTTGTTGTTTTTTTATCCCTTACAGTCAGACCATTTAATTTTCACCTTTAGGGCACAGCTTTCAAATAAATCTACATACACACAATACAGCAGAAACGCACACACATGCCTGCAAGGATCACAGAGCAAAGGTGCTTTCTTGCAACAACAACACCACCTGAGAAATATTTCAGCCTGATAATGGCTACCTGAAAAGGTCATGTGTTTATTTCTGATAGAAGCTGTTCAGGCTCAGAGTGTTCTCCGAGCAGTGTGTCCAGCTCAGGACACTATAACCCATCAGGCAGGGGGCAGGGCGGGGCAGAGTGGATGGCCAGCAGCCTTCTGTTTAAATGAATATCAATCTTGCCTTCTAGGCTGAGCTGCCACCCCCCTGTCACCGCAGGGCTGTGATTGGTTCATAGGAGACCAACCTGCAGCGGCCGGTGAAAGCTGCTGTATCAGTGTCCATTCACTGACAACAATGAGGCTGAATAACTAATGAGCTCCGTCCAGGCTGAAGGGTCTTCCTTGCAATGTTCTCAGATTAGCTTTGGACATGACCAGCAGCCTTCCGTGGGCCAGATGCTGGACCAGGAAACCTACAGAATAGCAATGCTTTTATAAAAGAAAACATTTTTTTTAGCTTTATCACCAAAGAAGACAAAAAGTAGGAGGATACAGACAGCTTTCCATTTGGATTACTTTTTCTTATCCATTTGATTTTTGAGGGCACTAAGGGGAAGAAGCTTTGACATCAAGGAGGTTGGAGTGGAGAAAACCAAAATGAAACCGAGGCTCTTGCTCACTTGCCTGGCAGCTTTCTACTGTTTGAGTAAGTACACTTTAAATTTCATATTCAGTATTGTAGCTTGGTTCAGCTGCTGGAGAGTGCAGGATGGGAAGTAGGGGAACTTTGCCAAGTGCACAGAGCAGAGGATGCTGCTACAGCTCCCACTGCTGTGCTGCTGCTTTGACTTTGACTTTCAAATCTCTCAAATCTTTGGCACCTATTAAGTCTATAATCATCAAACAGCTTCCTTGTTAAATGCCCAGTTGTTCCCCATTGAACCTGTCAGTAAGTGTAAAGATTAGTGTTCCACCTGCACTGGTGAATCATCCCTGTGTTTTAAGCTCCTTAAATTTTTGTAAATTGTAGAAACATGCTTCTGCTCTGTCTTCAATTTTCCACTCTGTCCAGATGACTAGCACTTGTCAACATGTACATGGTTGTTAATTGATTTTCACTGATCCCCTGAATTAAAATGTACAATATGCAAACTCTTTCCTACACTTCCTGTCACATCTTGTGGCCTTCCAGGAAGAGAGAAAAGCTTCAGACACACCAAGACAAACTGCCATTTACAGAGACCAAAAAAATGTAACTTCAACACAAATTTAGAATGTGGTATATGAATGTATACATACTTTATAGTCCATTTAAAGTTGTTATATTGAAAACACTGAATAACCTCTTATAGCCATGGGAACATTATGCAAATTAGCTGGCCATTGTGTAACATTCTTACAACAGTGAGTGGACATTTATTTTGGGGGTGGGTAGCCTAAACATAACTCCTAAAAATAGTAATATACATGAGTAATAATATGACTTAGTGATCTATCTTGAATAAAAATGAAAGATTCAAATTAAGGGGGCATCCAACACTGTTTGACTAAACAAGAAATTTCATTCTTGAACTTGGAAACAGTGGTTAAAAAACTAAAAAAGTAATTTGAGGTCCATTCACTACCCTTTTCCTAAGATTTTAACTAAGCAAACTCCATTCACTGAGGAAGCCTGTGAAGTGCAGATGAGAACTCCAGATGTTTGTAAGTGGACCTAAAGTTAAGATTTCATCAAAGTGAGGATTGCACTGTCAAGTATTTTAATTTTCCAGTTGTTGTTCAGGCATAATTATCACAGAAACATCAGTAATATAACCCAAAAAGTTGTACAACAAACAAATGTTTTATTTAAAAAACAAGCAGAGCACCTTTGCATGAGAAAGGGAGCAGTGCAGACGGTAAAGGAGACTGTCTTTATCTCAGACCACACTCAGGGGTCAGAGTCAGTGACCTCTGACCTTTGGGAGGGGGTTTCGCTCTGGGTCATCTTGGTCAGTGGAGCAGTCTGTGGGGAGGGGGCACAGACACAATAGGCCCCCCCAAGTCCTGAGTCTTCAGTGAGCTGACCTTCACACCCTCATCTCCATAACACTGCCCCCAGTCTGCGCACAGATTGAGACCTTATTAAAAATATGTGTGTAGAGGGTAATCCCCCCTACAGCTGCCCATGACCATGTCCTCAGCAACCCTCCCCTGTCAGGGCTCCTCACACACAGTGTCCACGGTGGAGGGGGCCAGCAGAAACACCCTCTGGTTTAATCCACAGCGGGGACACAAAGGGCCTGTGGTGATGGAAAAGAGGCAAACATCTCAATCTGTGGAGAGTTTAGGGTAATGCTAAAAGGATTTGACCCATGTAAAGGTATAACTATGAGGATAATGGGACTTTCTGTAGAGGTCCAGTATTAACCTGACTATGAGGTGTTAACAAGCACGCACAGCTTTGTGAACTTTTGTCAGTCCATATAACTTCTTTCATTATTGGTTAGCAGTAAATCTGTGAGATCCTTAATGATTTATGTTCCCACCCAGGTATGTCCAGTGAGAGTGGGTGATAGTAGAAACATGACCGAGCGGTTCCTGGTGAGACCAGACAGGATGACCATGTGCTAAATATAAACCCAAAGCTGCTCATAAACTTCACCAGCTTTTATAGGATGTTCATGATCTGTAAATTTCCAGATGCTTAAACTGCTGGTCAGAGTCAGTAAACCCAGTGTTCTCATGGTAAATGCAAAGGAGCCTATAACAAATAGTTGTCTTCTGCTACTACAGTTATTGTCCCATTAGCTGACGGCCTCATTTGTCCAGTGTCCAGTCTCTTGCACAATGATGAGTCCCTGAGTGTCTTATTATTGAGTTTTGTGAGGTTTGAGAGTCCTTGCAGGCTTTTTGTTTTTAATGAGATTTAACTAATAAGAGTTGCTGCTTCTTGACACCTCACTGATTAAAACTGCAGGACCAACAAAGAGGCCTCCTCTCCATCACATTCAAGATTATTGCTTATTGATCCACCTGGCCAGTGGGGACCATGTTTTTTAGGCCAGGCTTTTTGAATCTGCACTGACCATTAGAAATCAGCCCCCAAATGCAGATGGGACATCCTGGTCCCAGGGGCCCATGGGGCCAATATCAGTTTATGCATAGGTAAGCATGTTATCAATAGGTCAGGAAACAGATTCACTGCTGTGAAAAGACCAAGCACACTACATTTGGTGTTAATATAACTGTATTTATATAAAACAAATCCACTTAATATCATTAGAAATTTTGTAGGTTTCACATTCAGATTACTAATAAAATGAAGTTCTGTTTGGAAGTGTTGAAAACAGCTTAGTACCAAACTGCAATATATCTTTGGGACTGGTTTAAACTGAAATGTGTCCAAAGTACAGAAGTTCAAAAACTGTCAACTTCATAAAGTTGGCAGATCCATAATCTTTTATCAGATTTTAGTTTCTTCTGTCAAAAAAGATGATAAATGAGTTTGGTAGGAAGCCAGTTTATATTTCTCAAAATTAGGCACCCAAAATAGAATTGCTTTTGAAGCCAAAGCTCAGATATTATATCTCTAAAAAACCTTTAAGTTGGAAGACTATATGTGTTAAAAGTGCACTCTGAGTTATGGACACAAGCATGTTTCATCTTCATTTCTTAGAAACACACTGATTAGACATTGAACTTGGCACATGGCACCCAGGAAATGACAATAAAAAAGGCCTATAGGCAGACCCCCCCTACAACAACTACAATAGCATGTTAACAGAAACACAGCTGAGAAAACCCGCCGTCTCCAAGTAAGAGGAGCAACTTCCCATTAGAGGGACAAAGGAGGAAGCCCCGGGGCAATGGGTTTCACGCCTGCCCGGCCATTCCCACCTTCCAGCTCAGACCCACTACACATTCATTGTTCAAATTGCTCCCTTTTCAGAAACAGATATAATAGAGGACAAGGTCAAGAGCAAAGGAAATTAACAAATGGAAATATTCGAACATATCTGCACATTGCAGCTTTAAAAGTGCTCTGATTTGTTAATATTTCAATTAATTATCAAAAATGTGCTCTAATTGTATCTCTGCAGATACATGCTGTAAATCCATAAAGTGTGAAGCTCCAACCCAGACTCTCACTCTTAAACCTTCAACCTTATTCTCAAACCTACATCATATGGGACCACCTTTTCTCATTTTTATTCTACTTGCCATTCCTGGCTCAAATCCATGCAGCCTTCAAAAGTTGCCTTTCAAACAGAGCTGTCTAAGGGGGAAGAGAGGATAAAGGAAAATAAATTGATGAACAGATTTGGATATGGCGGTCAAGACCCCTGTGTCTTTGTCTGTCTTTTTTTTTTTTTACGGGGGGATGGACAGAAATCTGTGAAGTTCAGGGGCAGCGATCCTGCTAAACAATAGCTGTGGAGGGCTGGACGCAAGCTGCCCCCCACCCTCATCTACACATCCATCCTCCTCACCTCTGACTCTCTCATGACCCCTGAGGGGCTTGGGGTTACAAGCACAGGGCTGTAGTGTGGGGGTTGTTGAGTTAACCCCTCCCTTCGAAAAATCTCATTATAGTCCTCCTATATTGAAAAGAGTCTAATCTCTAATGCTATGCACTTAATCACACCTCATGCGGGTTTAGCTTGTTGGAAGATGTAGAGAGTTCATTTAACTCCTACAGTGGAGTTGCTTTAAATGTTGCTGTCTAACGTCGTTTAGTCTTGACACACTATTAACATCCTTCATTTATCTCGATGCGGAGAGTCTCACTGGATTTGAGGCCTGAAACTGGAAACTTAACAAACGATTGATCCCAGTGAACACTACATTTTTTGTTGTTGGTGGTGTTAGTTCAACTAGATGGTCAATTCTGAAGCTATACTTTGAGATGATGTTGTAATGGACTGCACTGTCCTAAAAGATGTTCCAGTTTCATCCACCTAACGTTAAAATGACCAAAGACTTGAATTAACACCTTTCCAATACAGTGTCAAAACTTGCATGGTAAGCTTCCAAGATATCAAAATTATTGCAAGACTGTGTGACTGAACTCCGAAAGAACTACAGCTCTCCACTAACACTGGTTCGCTCTACCCTTTACAAAACCTTAGCATAGCATGTGATGATGAGTCATCAAGGTAGATTCTGTTGACAAACAAGAATTTTGATTTTTAACTTTAACCAGTTCCTTTTTACAGATTTAGGTTGTGTCAATGACTGAAATTATCTTTATCTTGCATTACATTGACTTGCGTTACCCTATGGTATCTTAAGTTATGTTATCTTAATGCAAGTTATGTTACCGTAAGTTACATTACATTAAATTATGTTACTTTAAAGGTGTATTTTGCAAGAAAACAATGTATAGACTCATACAAAAGTAATCCCTCTCAGTCATCACACCAGTGTGTGGCAATTATATATCTGCAGAGACTCCGCCCTTTGCCTGAATTTTCTTATTTTACTCTTATTTTGCTGTGTTCGGGACATTCCTGGGCACAGTATGCAGGTGAGGTCAGGACTTCATAAAAAAGTAACAATGAGGTGCCAGACTGGAAGCAGCACACATTCAAAAATCACAGACACAGTGCAGAAAAAAATGCAAATATAGGATGGAGAAACCTGCACACAAAATCAGAGTGAATCTGGAGTTGGCTTTCACTTTCACCAGCAATACTGTTTACAAACAGTAAAATGACAATTCCTGCATAACATAAGTACCCATAAGTTACTTTAACTTATAGTGCATTAACTTACACTACATTCCTTTGTGCCCCCTTAAATGGTCAGCATTCACCTTCGATTGCCTTATACATTACCTTATGTTAGCTTATGTTGAGTTGTGTTTTACTTTAGTATTTGGTTATAGTTTAGACTATATTTCAACTTCTGAGAGCATCTCAAAACAATGAACAATATGTACTGTATAAGCGATTAGTCTTTAGAAGTCATCTTGCAGTGTGTTCTCAATCCTGCACCTATGTAGACATTGTAATGGTGATTATAAAGTGGGAAACCAGGCACAGAAATCTAATGTTAATTGGCATTAGTTCTTCTTGAACCAATATCAACAAAGATTCCTGCTATGACATAACCTTGTCATAGCAGTACCTTAGTCATACACTCTCCTGCATCTGAGATCAACATTGGTCTTTTAGGCCTCATAGGCTGCAACACCATGTGTTCGATAACGCTGGCCACAGAATGTGATGCAAGTCCCCCTTGAGAGCCCTGAATTTCATTACCAGGCCTGAGGGATGGGGGCTCAGGGGGGTTGCAGGGCTCTATCAGCCCAGAGCCACAGTCCTCTCTGCTGGCTGCATCTGCTGGGTGGGAGATCTCTCATTAAGGAGGGCAGATGCTCATTTCTTGATGTGACACATCAGTGATGCCAGTGACAGAGATCATGAGGAGGGGGAACAGCTCTGCTCTATGTTCAGGCTTTGGATAAGCTTTGCTGATTTGTTTTATAAGTGGCAGTCTGAAATCTGATGAGTTCTTGTAAAACCTCAAACCCATTCCATCAACTACCTTGTCGATAAGGAGTGAGCAACCTTCTTGTATTAAGAGAGATTGCAGCTTGTTAAAATAGCCAACTTTGTGGTAATTGTATTTACAATGCCATGATACCTAAGTCCAACCATTTACAGGATGCTTTTTTTGGGGAGTAGTGAGGGTGTTAAAGGGTCAATTGATCCAAATCTCAAAAAGTGATATTATTTCACTTTGGTCTATATCCATGCAGATGTTTTTGGTTTTATGCCTCCAACCCAGTACAACAGAGATGATTAAAGTCTTATCTGCTCACAGGATTAAAAATTGAAAAAAAAAAAAAAAAAAAAAAAATTGAAATCAGAATTAACATCTGTTTCCAAGACTCTCGAAAGGCATGTTCCAGTAAAAATGTTGTTTTTTAATGCTGTGAGCACCACAAACCAGTTTCCAATATAGTGAGGCAGAGGCAGAAATCACAGAGATATATACTGGTGGTATCTAAACAGCTAGCAACACATTAGTACAGAGCATCAGCTGCCCTTCAGAGTAAAAATGAACTTCACTGAGAACAGAAATAAACAAAACAACTGAAGTCAATCCAAAGTCAAGTTCAGCTGCAGGCTGCTGTGTGTAGGATGTGATGCTTGATGGTGGCTGGACAACAATACATTTTGTTGTCCAGCTCACAGCTCAGTTAAAGAAAAGGGTGTGTTTGGCTGGACAGATGCAAGACTTCGTAATGACATTGATAAGGCATTATGCAGGTTCAAGTGCAACCATGATTGTTACCGCTTTACAGCTGGGAAGGAAAGCGGCTAGCCTAGGGTTCAAGGTTCTTTGCATTTGTGGACATTAACACCAAAAAAGGCTAAAGAAAATAGGGAAGACTGAGAGTGTCACCAAGGTCATGGAGGGGAGGGGACAAGGGTGAGATAGAGAGCTCTGGTGGCATGGGAAAGTCACCTCAGAGATGGATCTGAAAGGACGCAACAAGGCAGGAGGGGTGGAGGGGATGCATAAGAAGGGGCAGATGGTGCCCTTGGGTGCATGGTGGCGGACGGGAGTTTTTACAGAGGTTACTGTGGGTGAGGTGCAAATAAGCATAGTCACAACACTATTGTCACAATTGGCCCCGACTTCAATAGAGGGTCTCCTAACTTGACCCCAGCAACCCTCGCCAGTGTTCTCCTCCCAAACTCGGGTATTGTTGTTGCCCTCTCTGGCTGGATAGCTCACTGGCATCCAGCTTCCATTGTGGCTTGACTTCAGTAAAAGCGTTATAGGCCGCAAAACCAAATGCACCATCAATCAAATGAGGTGGTTTTGGGTGTTGAGGGAGGTTTTTCAGATAATTTGGTTAGGGTAATCTGAGGCTTGGTGTCCAACAGAGAAGCCTCCCCTTGTGCTATTGTATCTTGAACCATGGTGTGTTTGTGGGTTTTAGTTGAAAAATAGATGGAGTTTCCTATGCTCAACCAAAATCCTCCCATGTCTTAGTAGAAAACCCTCCAAGTGCAGTTCAAGGTTACTCTTTCATGTAAAACTGATTCCAAAAACTTATTATGACTCTAAATGACGGTTTCATTGGATTTTTTGTTTGGTTTCTTATGGTGTGTTTGGACTGAATGAGTAGGACTGCTGGACTGGACTGTGCCATTCAGATGTATTTGCAACAAACAGCCAATGTTCTACATGTAGACCCCAACATGGTGTTGCCACAAAGCTTGGGTCTGTGCATATCAGTATTTCTAATACCAGACTCATCCTGTTTTTTAGTGACCATAGCTGTTTATCCAGATTTTTAAGCCCAAACATGATCTTTTCCTAATCATAACCAAATGGTTTGTGTGCCTAAACCTAACCACACATTAACCACAGCATTGTTGAAACTTAAAGTAATGTAATGTTTCAACGTATCCACTACAAAACAACGTACAAAAGTAATGCATCGATTTCAGTTTGCAGAAAAGTACAATGCCAACAGTTTTCTGGCATCATTTTTTATATGAAGCTAGCTAGCCACATACATACTGACCCTAAATGTATGTGTGTATGTGTGTGTGAGTTGTATGCCTATGTGTGTTTTTGTAAAAGGTAGTTCACACTCAGAGTGATTGATCTCAGAATATACCCAGTACTCTAGTTTTTTTCTATTATTTTCCATCACTGGAATGTATTTCAGTTTGTAGAGATATTGACAGTATGACTTGACCTTTATTGAGCCTCCCATCACTTCCTACATGGACCTCATTACATTTCTGAGTTTGAATATTTCTCAACAAATTATCATTTCAAGTAATCAGATTTGTAGCATTTCTCTCTCTGATAATCTGTCTTTCTCCTCCTCCTGTGTGCAGGTGGCTGTCTGTCCTCAGAGCTGTCCTTCCTGCTAGAGCCAAGTGATGTGATCGCGGTGAGGGACCGTCCACTCATGCTGGACTGTCGGGTACAGGGCGAGGAACCGATCATGGTCACTTGGCGTAAAAATGGGGTACCTTTACCTATCAGTCCGCGGGTCCGGGTGCTGGCGAATGGCACGCTGTTCATCCAGAGTTTCCAGAAACGCAGAGAGGGGAGTGACGCAGATATGGGGGAGTACGACTGCGCCGCCCAAAATCGCTATGGCTTGCTGGTCAGCCGCAAGGCCAAAGTCCATTTGGCATGTAAGTGTTTGACAGTGACTGCACATGACTTTCACAATATGTATGCATACAAGTACATATGCTTTGGAAGGGTACAGACTGGAGGAAATAATCTAATTGGTTATCTTATTCCCTGATGAGCAGAACAAATTCCTCACAGTGCAAATGAGTTGAGTAGGAAATTGGAGAGGCAAAGAGGAAGTGCATTATCCAACATCTGCACATCATCAATTCCTACAGCTACATTGTAAAGATATGGAAAAACTGAGATCATAATTATGAGAGCCTTATCTCATACTTTCGGAAACTATCTCATAATTTAGATACTGATATCGTCATTATGAGATCCCTTTGTGTAATTAGGAGATGCTACATTTTCTTTCTCTGGTTAATGTAGTTTTCTCCTTAGAGGTCTTATTAGAAATTTACTTTAAAGTTCAAAGTAACTTGTTTTTCATTACTTAATGCACATTGTAATAAAGGACTGGTGTCAGGATTTTAGAAGTACTGAGTTCCCCAACACACTCCCTGCTAGACACCAAAAATGATACAAATATTTGTTTGGTTTCTCTATATTTCATTATTCAGTAAACTATCAAATAATATTTTCTGTGTGTCTTAATTCCTTATATATGAGGACCTGCAGCCTTCTCCACAGTTGTAGTCAGGTTCTGGTGAAGAAATTCTTGATTAATTAGGGCCCATAAATAGTCAAGTTGAATATGCTAAGCTTAAAATAAGCTTAAAAAAAGCTTAAAACCTCCAATAAAATATCCATCATGAGTTAGTTTTTCCCTGATTTGAATGATCTTAGAAAGCCAGAAGCCTTGGTACAGTAAGTTACTCACTTAATAACACAAGCTGCTGTGGCTGGTAAGATAAGTGTAGCAGGTAATCTTGGTTAAACCATCAATTTTAAAGAGCACTAAGCTTCACGGTGCTCTTTCATTTTACATTACCTGATTTTGGCTCCAGCCAGTGATGATTACTGCAATGTTTTGATAAAGAATATTTCTGTGAAATCATACTGGACTCTCATATCACATTTCACAGCTAAATGACCATTTGTATATAAATTACTCTTCATGTGTTACATTGAATTTGTGAAGAAAACTTGATCTTGCTTGCCTCAATTGAACAAAGAATCCAAAAAAGTGAATATTCATGAATTGTAACTGTAAGTAAAAGTATTGGGAGCCAAGTGGAAAAACAGCCAAGCTATCAAAACATTCTTTAACAAATTCTCACACAGCTTGTGCAGTTGTATGTGCAGTACTTCCCAATACATGCATTTTTGAATTAAAAACACTTCAGCCAATGAGTAGCATGCCTGAGCATGCATCTGCGAATTAGGTCACTTGAGCAGACTTCAAACGCACGTGTACCCAGACAGGCTTAAAACAGTTTGTGCTAACATGTTGTAAATCAAAATGTTTTAGAAAAAATGCACGTGTTTATGAAGTATTGAGCATATGACTGGATAAATAGGAGCTGGATTATACTGCACAAGTTGTATGGGAGCGTGAGAACACATGTTTTGATTTAGTTTTGTTGTTGTATGTCTTGCTGTCTTTGGATTCTCCTTCACTGTGGAGGCCTATGATAAAAAACAGTTTTCTTCATTAATTGAAGGTAACACATGGTGAGCAATTCACATACAAATGGTTGTTTTGCAGGTGAATTATTCTTTTAAGAGAAGAAGTAGCTGTTTTGAACATGCTTCTCTGTTCAACGTGCATGCACACAGTGCTTATGTGAGCATTTCTTCATCTGGTTATCAGGGGCTGAGATAGCATACGATAACTGTTCTAGAGGTTTAGTGTCTCATTCTGTGGGACTTTTTTCATAGTTGTTAAACCAGTCACTCTGCAGGTTATCACAGCAAAGAAACTGGTGAATAAGATATTATCATATACAATAGGAATGCTGGATAAAACTATAAGTTCGAACTTCCAAGTTGTAATAAACATGATTTACCTTCACACTTTTAGAGTTTATGAAGGCCATTTGGTTAAAAAAAAAATGTAACACAGTAATGACCTTCATTACAGTGATTTTTATGTGAGGACTACAAACTCTTAACTTGAAGATAAATGATCCTGGTGTTTCATTACAATTGTGGGGTTTTGTTTTGTTGATGTGTATGTGAAGTGCATGTGATGTAGATTGTATATATTAAGAAATCTAAATTAAATCTTATCAAAACACAGATGACAAACGGTCACTTCCTCAGGCGTTTTAATATCCACATCCCAGCATTATCCACAGGCCGTAAACCTGCACAGTGAGCTAGAGGATGTCCCACAGATAGTCACCACATGTTGCCTTTTCTCTGTCAAAACATCCCATAGTCTTTGTTATAAATGATGCTTCAAACGGTGAACACCTCTGCATCATACTCGGCAACCCACACCCCCCTCGGACTCTTTGATCCTTTGTTGCCAGAGGGAACAAGTGCCCAGATACAAACCTTCCACCAAAACATGCCAGATTCATTATGGAAAACCTATAAATTACACTGCTCAGCACATATAGGCGTGTACAGTAATGTACACGCCTACATGTGCTGAACACACACATGTACCTGCACTACTTGTACAACGTTCTCCCCACCCCCACCCCTTCAATCAGTCCAATAAAACCAGGGGTTTATGGTTAATCCAGGAGAATTACGGCTATCCCGAGGTGGTTTTACCTCAATGCAATGAGTTGCCATGGTGATGCTCTCTCATTTGCAGACCCCTCCTCTATGGTATACACCCTTATTGATTATGGCAACCAGGTCATTAGGAATCTGTGTGTGTGTGTGTGTGTGTGTGTGTGTGTGTGTGTGTGTGTAGTAGGTATTACAGCCTTTGTGAGCAAAAAAATATGTCATGATTTACAGTAACAAAGGCTACATATAATTTGGAAATGGATCATAAAATTGCTAAAATAATTCTAATTCAAACTGCAAGATTTTGCACTTTCACAACCACAGTTTAGAGTTCAACAGAAATCATTATGACCCTTAACTCATTCCAAAATGTCCTGAATTTACTCATTTAAGCGGATTTTTGTGTTGTTTGCTCCTCAGCTCTTCCGAAGTTCCACACCCACCCTCTGTCTATGTCGGTGGATGAGGGAAGCGTAGCCCGCTTCCAGTGTCAGATCAACGGAGTACCTGAAGCTAATATCACCTGGGAGAGAGACAGAGCACCGCTCAACACCACCGACAACAGGTAACATACACACATGCTCTACAGTGTATAAACCTTGCTGCTCCTTCAACTTTTACTGTACAAACTCAGCTGTCAACATGTACGATTCAAGGGTGAAGGGTACAAATAGGTATTTTCCTCTAAGTACTATAAAATTATTCCCTGCCTATTTTTTTTACACCTAAAACATCTACATTTTGTCATAATATGGCTGGACAGACTCAGGAAGCTATTTTTGTTGCTTACAAGTCATGCAATGTATAGATCTATATAGTAAAGATGAGGTTTTTATGACCCATCCACCACCCCCCCCCAAAAAAACATGTGAAAAACATGTGGTACGGTCTCAGAAATTATAGAATTATTACAGTAAAAGTATATATATTTGCACTATGAAAAAAACTGCACTTATTAGTCACTCGACATTAAAGTGTATTTGTACATCACTGTGTACATTTGCTAATCAGCAACCCACAGTACTGTAACTTTTGCATTGCGTGCTGCCTAGGGGTGTTACTTTTCAGTTCACATTTTAACAGTTTCACTTATGGCTAAAACTGACAGGACATTTATCATTTTACCTCTCCTCCCTGTCCAGATACACTCTCCTGCCGATGGGTATTCTCCAGGTGACAGGCGTGAGGCAGGCAGATGCAGGAGTTTTCCGCTGTGTCGCCACCAACATCGCCAATACTCGCTACAGCCATGAGGCCATGCTCAACATCACTGGTTGGTGGACACACTTGTACACTGGTTATAGCTACATTATTCATTTCTTTATGTATTAAACTGTAAGGTATATGGGATGTGTCCATGTACGTATAGAGGTCATTGTCTTCACTGCACTATATCTCACAATTTTTTTACCATATTCCTTCATCCTACCAGGTGGGGCTCCCAGAACCTACAAGGAGCCAGTCATCCTGTCAGGGCCCCAGAATCTGACCATCACTGTCCATCAGACGGCCATCTTGGAGTGCATCGCCACAGGAAACCCGAGGCCAATTGTTTCCTGGAGCAGGCTAGGTACCACCAGATGATTGGAGGAGAAGTTAACAATACGCAGCACGTTTTAAGCTTGATCTCACAAACTATCTCTGTGTGTCCATCAGATGGACGCTCCATCGGGGTGGAGGGGATCCAGGTACTAGGAACAGGGAACCTGATGATCTCAGATGTTTCCCTGCAGCACTCTGGTGTGTATGTGTGTGCTGCAAATCGGCCCGGCACAAGAATGAGACGTACTGCACTCGGACGACTCGTAGTACAAGGTAAGGCTAAACAGAGTTACATACTGTTAAAGTGCTCTGGGTCAAAGCACTTATTGGCCCAGGAGAGCTCCTCACTTGCCATCAGTGCTCGCCATGGAGTTTGTATTGATTAAAACCTGGTTTACACCTGTGATGAATCTACGCCATAGCTTATGCCATAGCTTATGCCATACTGTACGTGATGTGCACCTCCCGAGAAAATATAATGACACGTTGCAGCAACACAGACCTCCTGGTCATTTCAAACTTCTTACTTGTTAAATATTATTGCTGCTAAGCCATGTTTTATGTTTTGGCTGAATCACTTCACAGAATCTCAACATGGTGGCATAGAAACCCCGCCACCAAGTAACGTTTTGGCGGTAGAATTGCAGAATGATAGACACACCAGCACACAAGCATAAGCGCTCACAATGATGTAAGCGACTTGCATAGACTTTGCCGTAGGCTCTGCATGAAGCTTATGTACAACTTGAAATCAGCCTTAATTCTGCAGACACAGCATTTTTGTTAACAAGGAACAGTTCAACAGTTTTAGGGACAATGTCTTTTTTGCTATTGTACCTACGCCAAGTGAGGTCCATTATAGGCAGGGACAAAACCATTTCAAAAATACTCAGTCTATGAGTCCAAATTTCCCCAGTGGACCCTCAGAAATGTTCAACAGGCAAAAAACATCTATAAAAGTTTATCAATATTATTATCCTATGTCTCACATATTATAGGCCTACATGTAGCTGTTGTATTACTGAATCACTGCCCAGAAGGAAGTGTGCATCTACTGCTAGCTCACCGAGCACCAACCAGCTAACTAACATTACAGCTAAGCCTAGGAGGACACCATTAATGTTTACATTTACCACTGTCATGCGCATTGAGCACGAGCCTCTCTTACATGAGTAGATGCACGCTTCCTTTTGCCTTGCAGATACAGTTGACAGGTGTAGTTTGCCAGAAGAAAAAGTAGTTCCTATGTAAAACTGCTCACATCAAGGTCTGTGGATCATCTTGAGAAACCAGGTCATGATTTCTGGAAAGAGACAATGCTGCTGATGTTTTTTTCTAGTGCCATCTCGTTCCATTATATTCAAGCGATGACAGACACCTCTACAACCAATATCTGCAACATTCGGCAACTCACATCCAAATAGTCTAGATTGTGAAATGGGACTACAGTCAAGAGGAAAAATATTTATTTGTGATTTTAGGGTGAACTGTTGCTTTAAGTGAATGTCAGATTTAGCCTTAAAAAAATCCATCATGTGATTCCTAAATGTTGGACTGTTCCTTTAATGTAAAAGCAAATCAGTGCAGGGCACGTAACAGTCAGGGAAGGAATGAAGATACATTTACGTAAGAAAATAAGTTTGAATCATATTTAAAAATATAAAAATTGTTATGCAATCATACTGCTCTGTAAATTGACCATCTGATATAGATACAACCTTTCCTGCAAACATGTAGCCTTTTAGCAGCCTTTGTTTAATAAGCAGACCTCTATGAACGATCCTTTGAGTGTGTGTGTGTGTGTGTGTGTGTGTGTTGAGTGTGCACTTGACCATATTAACTGGCGGTGGTGGCGGAGGGGAGAGGAAGGAAAGGGTCAATAGCAAAGCTCCACCCTTTCTTCTCACCTTTGCCCCTGGTTGTTCAGTGGGGGTGGAGGCTAGGAGCATGGGCCTGCTGTACGGTGACACTATTGGTGTGTGACCCCTCCCCATTTCAACCACACATATGCGCACCCTTTCCAGTCTCTTTGTAACAATTAAGCACTAACACCAGTGTTCAGTGGTGTGTCTGTGTGTGTGTGTATGAGGGGGGTGGAGGGCTCTCTATGACGTTGACTCATCCATCACCCTGCAGATGTCCATACACTCAGCCCACATATATTTCTCACTGTCATTAGCTTTGTTTTAATTAGCTGTCCTGAGGCGAGCTCAATTAGCAGCTCACCTCCCAAAGTGTTAGAGGGCGAACAGGGGGATGAGACAGAAACATGAAGAGCGTTAAAGTGTTCAGTTTCTAATTAGCAAGCTATATCTGGTTCCTCTGTATATGTACAGGGTGTTCCTGTAAGGAGTGAAATTTGATTTGTAGAAAGGCGAGTGACGTTGTGTATGAGCTGACTAAGTCATACAGAGAGGGAGAGGATGGTGGATGGCGTGATGTCAGTCAGGCTGCAAGCTACTGCAGACTGCTGTTCAAGATTAACAAACAAAGCCAGTTTTAACATCCCGTCACTTTGTTTCCAGCGGCTTTTTAGGCACTAGTCATGCGTGTTTTTTAGCCACCCATTACTGTGTGTTGTGTTTTTTCCAGCGGGGATAGTACCATGAAAAGCAGTTGTTTTTTTACAGAGACATTGCTGCCTTTCCAGTAAGGATTGGGCCCCCAAAACTGGTTATTTTAAGACAAAGCATGGTCTTTTCCTAACCATATCCAAGTGGTTTTTGTGTGTAAATCTAACCACACATTAGGCACAGCATTGTGATGTAAAGTTCCAATGTATCCAGTACATAATAATGCACAAATTTAACATATACTGTATGTTGTTTGCAGAAACGTACAATGCCAAAATATTGTCTGGTGACTGGGTTGTGCATGCAGGCAGAGATGTTATGAGACCAGTTGTAAGGGAGTGACTGCTTACAATCACTTGAGGACTTAATACGTCTGTTTCACTGCATTTTAGAAGAAAATGTGTTTTTTTATTCAGTTTATTCAATCTATTTGCAGTCACAAGAACATTAAGTAGTACTCCATCAATTTTGTATTGCACTTCCCTAAAGTTGGGTGACTTGTGAGAGACATATTAAAAATAGAATGGTCACAATGCAGCAAAATTTCCAGACTTTTAGTCTGTAGCAAAGGATCCTTCATCCACCATAATGCAACTAATGTCATCTTTTCTTTAGAGCCTCCCTGTTATGTAAATGTAATTTTTTGACTGCTGCTGCTGCTGTAGGGTATTATAATAAAACTAGGGAATGTATTTATTTTTTATGTAATTCTTAATGGGAACACACTGAAATTAAGAATTCCAATATGTTATTTTTATGGTCCAGGAAAGTTTAATAAATATTTGTGAACATGAGCTGCTCTCTCTCAAAGCCAGAAACCAGGGAAGTTAGTCTCAAACTTGTGACGTCATAGGGTATAAAATCTGGAGCTCCTTCATAGACAACCGATTGAGCTTTATCCTATTGTAGTGCTCTCAGTTTTGAAATAGAAAATGAACACGTATACTCAGAACAGTCCCCTGGTTGCTCTCAGTTACATCTACATCTTTCCCGATTCATTTTCTATAAAGCAGCTCCAGAGTTTATACCCTATGACAATACAAATTTGAGTTTAAGCACTCTAGTTTCTGGATCATGTTTACTGAAGTTTTTTGGACTATATTAGACCATAAAAATCATTTTGAAAATGAGTGTAGTTCCCTTGTATATTAGTGACTGAGAAAATGATACTCCACATGTATAACTTCAAACAATGCATCCCATTTGAAATATAAACCAACAGAAAGACCTGGAGCAGATTTCATTAGATTTCTTGTAATCTCAGTTACATCAATCTATATTCATATAATTTAGCTTCATCCATCCATCTCTCTGTTCCTTTTGTGTCCGATTCTTTGACAGGATCAATCAATACTTTCCCCTGTCACTCTCTCACAGTGATTGGCAGTGCCTCTGGTGTGGAGCAGGGGAACAGGGATCTGATCTCTAATATATTCATTAATTTATTGATCAATTTGCTCTTTTGGGGGGGTTGAGAGGGAATAACAGCTTTAGGCTTTGGCCACCTGGTAACATGACCACCCACCCACAGCTTCAGAAGTTGAAATGTTTTTATCATTCTGCAGTGCTGCATCAAAAAATAGATTATCACAACAAAGCTGTGTTAGAAGAAAGACCTGAGATTAGCTCCAGTCAAAATAACTAATTCCTTTATTGACACTGGGTCATTTTTATCTAAACTGATTTAATGTTATATCTTATATGATAGACTACATGGAATAAAGCATTACAATAATATGCCTTTTCTAACTATTTGATTATGCTGGGAAGGGTGTGGGATCAGATTAGTGTCAATATGATTTTGATCTTTTGAAACTATGCCTTTGAATGTGCAGAAAAATTGTAGATGTAGAAACAAAACTGCCTAAATGCCTGAGTAAAATTCCTGAAATGGTGAAGTTACATCAAGCCTGAGAAAAAGATAATTGCTTCTGTGATTGTCGGAGAACACATCCACAGCAAAAGGTTAAATTCAGCATTCAGAGGTCCTACACTACATTTGAAACTAAAATAAAAGACGCATTTTTCTATTTATAAAACGAAATATTCTTCTATTTCAAGCATATTAATATGTTTGAAGTATTTAAAAATATTTCTTAATTGTTTTTTTGTCCACAGAATGCCCAAATTTTACAATAACGGAATATTAGGTTGGAAAATGCTCTGCAAGAGTAGCAGTCAACTCATTCATTACAGCTGTAAAAGCATTAGAGCTTGAAAGTGCAGAGATGTTGTGATGACTCACAGTGAATGTTTTCATTATTCAGCTCAAGTCAAGTTCACTGAGAATCTGTGCGTCTGACTGCTGTTTGTGTTTAGAGTGTGAAGGTTATAGCAGAGGTCTGAACTTTCTCACAGTCTGTGTGCTAGCCCGTCTGCGTATGTGTGTGTCCACGGTCATGGTCAGGACGAAGGGACAAAGAAGACAAAGAAACAAAAAGTAGAGGACATCTAGACGGTCAATGTAGGGTGCAAGGTGCAGGAGGAGGGTCCAATGGGAAAGGAATGGTGGGGGGTGATTGATGACCTGCAACCCTTTGACCTCTGACTCTGACCCCAGACCTCGACATGAGGATTCAGGGTGCATGTCTGTGAAAACGGTTGAGGTTAGGGAGGAGGAGGTGGAGTCAGGATGGACAGATAGGGAGGTGGAAGGAGAAAGGAGGTGTGGTCTCACAGTTAATTAGGGAGAGCTGGAAGATGAATAGTGTCCCGGCAGAGGGGTGAGGGCAACCAGGGTGTCACCACGTAGAGGGAAACACAAAGGATGGCCAGCCATTATGGAGAATGGTGTGTTAAATACACCCGTCCCTCTCTACTCCCTTCCTCGCTCCTTCCTCTCCATTTTTTGTTGACCTGTTTTGTGAACGGGTTGAGCTGCTGATCTTTTATCATGCAGATCCCACTGACAGTCTCAGTATACTTCTTACATTTATCATCAACATCAGCATCATAATGTGTCAAAATCTTCAAATGTGTTTCCAAAATACAACAATTTAAGTATATGTCACCTCAAGGGGGAAAAAGGTTAGGCTAGGTTTATCTTGTAGTTCCAGGACTTACCTGAGTGTGGACTGAAATAAAGCAGGATGCTAACTGTCCTCAAAGTGTAATGTGTTTGGTGTAAAAAACAAGAGTACTACAGGTACTTTACACAATTATTTCAATTTTGGGTTCCTCTATACTTCGAGTTCAGTTATTTTTAAGAGAAAATAATATGTTGTTTTAATAGACAGCTGTACAGTTTTTGGTTTGGATTAAGAATTTACATACAAAACCTATGATCAGCCACCAAAATATGATGCAGTTTTCTAGATTGAAATAAGCAGCAGCAGAATAAAAATAATCTCTAACAATGCAGCGAGGATATTAATGAATCAGTGATAATAACCACCCAATCTCCAGATAAAAACTTGGCATTGTACATTTCTGCAAACCATTGATATGTTACAATTGCACATTATAATGAAGCGGGTACATTGAAACTTCACATTTCAACAACCTTGTGGTTAATGTGTGGTTGGTTACAGGCACAAAGACTACAAGGCGAGGAAAAGATCATGTCTTGGCTTAAAATACCCAGGTTTGGAAGGCATAATAGCAGCAGAAAGAGCCGCAATAAATAAAAAGCCACTGAAAACACAACAATAACTCGATAAATCACAACTGGTTTGGTTGTTTGTTGGTTTTGAATGATACAAATGAAACGCATAAATGTAACGTATTTGTGGTTTGAAGGAACGTACAATGCTAATATTTTCTTCTGGCAACTGGGCTGACTATAACACTCTGACAGCCCCCATGTGCATAGTGAAGCCTTTACTTGCGGTAGTACTTTTTGCTGATAATATATACTTTAAATGCAGGACCAGTACTTTTATTAGGGTATTTCTTGCTATGTTTGTCTGTGTAAATTATAAGCAAACATACAAATAAACAAATATTCAGTAAAGAATGAATATGTACTTGGGTCTAAATAGATCGCTGTCAGTTTTTACAGATTTCAGCTATTCTTTCAATTCCTTACTATACTCGTTATTACACTTTACAAATCAAGGAACTTTCTGAAAAACCTAAATACAGTTCGGTACATGCTGTGTGTACTGTCAAAGGACACTGTTTCTATTTCCCTAGAACTGGTTCCAGATCATAGTTGTTGCCATTTAACGTCCTAGAATTGTTAAGAAATTAGAGGACCTCTTTGCAGCTTATTACAGTAGAACCTCTGGAAAGTAACGCTCCCTAGAGTAGAGAACACATCTACTGCTCATATATATATCATATATATAGAAGCAAAACACAATATGGCTCACACACATATGTTAATCCGGTAATGCTCAGTGCCTGTCCGAGCAGTGCATCGATGAATGGAGCCCCCCCAAACAGGCTGCAAACAAAAGGGACTAAGAGTAATAAGAAGAGGGACGAGGTGTGGTGAAACTCAAGGTCAACAGAATCAGCGATCAATACAGACTATGGATCGACTGATGAACGGTCAGCTGAGGATGCATGACACTTTCTAACATGATGGCGGGGCGGCTGAACAGATGAAGGGGTGGACAGCTATCCTCCCTGAGAGATAATGACCATGCACACACACACACACACACACACACACACAGAAAGAGAGGTAGAAAGAGACAATGAAGAAAACAGTACCTTGAACTTGATCTGTTATTTGGAATAGTAACTTAACATTGGCCACCAAAAATACTGTTGTGTTTATGTTTGATTGGCTGGCAGGTGTTAATCGAATCATACATGCCGATATTGATATTCAGGCAACCATAGCAACACTCTCTCTGCTTCGTGCTATGTTACCAGTTAGTTCTCATGGGTAAACTTAACAATGGCTTTAACTGGTAAAAGCAGACAAGGGGTTTATTCCAACAAGCGGGCCAGAGTCATCTTACCAGGGGATTCACTGATACTGAACACATAAGAAATTTACTAAATGAAAGCTGAGTAAAAGTAAAACCTAGAGCTTGGGAAAGGAACAGTGCCTCTGTCATTTGTGGAGTAACTTGACTGTTATGTCTTGGATAACTTTGCTAAGTAAAACCCAGGGCAGCTTTTTCTGAATGCCAGATCTAAAGAAGTCTGACTAACTCATCGCCAGATAGCTTCCTACATCCTGGACACATGATGTTACCTGTGAGAAATTAACTGGCACACAAGTAACGTTTTGTGAAATTAATGGAAAGGAATAGTGGTGATAAATGGGAGATAAACATGCAGAACACATCAAAAACACGACAGTACAGGTCTGCAACCTTTTCCATGATGAGTGTTAGTTTACAAAGATGAAGATGATCAGTGTGTCAGTGGTGTTTGTTAAGCTTACGCATTGACAGTTACACTATTATTGGACATTTGACCCTTTTCATAACAATATGAGAGTTGTATTTGTGCAGAGCCCCCTTTTGTAGGTGCTCAGTTGCCCTATTTCTGGTTTTCAGTCATTTCAATATTTCACTAATTCTCCTCTCAGCAGTTCTTGGGGACTAAATTAAGTCTTTAATCCTGGATATGATGGTATCTTTATTCAGCTGTCCACCAAACAAACTTTTGCACTGTTGTCCTTTATGTATTCTTTATCTGTGAGTGGTTTCCCACATTTAGCAACACACATTTCTATAGCCTTAATTTCAGAGGTATGCAGTGCTTTAAATGTGCTACTATACACTTGACCCTAACACATCACATCTTCACAACAACATGCACATATGGTTTGTTCGCCTGCTGCAACAAACTTGACCTCCATTGTCCAGCTGGGCTTAAAAGGTCTGTTAGATTTGTTCTCCATTCTGCATGCAGATTGGTGCGTTGTGGTCTCCTCTTTGTCAGGGGATTCGTGGTTAAAGCACCTGCGCTGTTGTATGGCAGCTCAAGCTCTCAGCGTGAAGTGTGTTCTGTTTTTGGTAAATGCAGATTTAGCATGTGTCAAAATTAATTCATCATGCTGGCTTAATCTGTTTAAATCAAGCAATTTGTAATTATGTGAACACACTGAAGAAATGTTTAAATCTAAAGATGTTTCTCAAAATCCACAAAGTCTTCTTTACTCCACCATGTCTACATTTGCTCACCACACACACACCTACAGACTGCAGTTATGACTTCCCTTAGTTACTTTCTTCATGGGTTAGTTTTGGTTCAGATGAACCGGTTCTAGCAAAAAGTGGTCTGACCATGAGAAGAAAGAGAAATCTCTGGCTGCAATGATGAATGCTTCCTTATTGAAATGGCCATCTTGTTGACACATCCCCCTCACAGGGGGTGCAGGGCCACAGAGGGTGCTGAGGTCAATAGATCAATGAGATGCTGAGCGTGGGCTGAAGTGCGTGTGTGACTGCTGCCTATATCCCAGCATATATATGCATGTCTATTGTGCCTATATTGAACTGGGTGTCAGGAGGAGCAGTCAACCCTGCATCTGGACAGCCGAGGACTGACTGGGGTCAGCAGGCTGCGTGTGCGTGCGTGTGTGTGTGTGTGCTGTAAAGGGACCTAACAATTGTTTGGGTTTTGGAGAGACACCCTTCACATATGAAGCCAAGACACAGACGCAGATTTATAATCTAATGAAACATGTATTTCTGAATGGTTTGAGGCAGTTTTCAAACTAATGTGTCAGTTTTACTATTTTACTTATATCTGAGTGTTTTTTGGGGCTATTTTCTCTATTCTGCTATGGACTACTCTACACTGTGTGTTTAAAAACCTTTTTATCCCCTTCATATGTACACTTGGATGCAGTGTTAGGGTAAAGAATACAGCACATTATGGGAAACATGAGTTTAAGTTTTTGTGATTGGATATTGTGATTGTTTTTGTTGTGTGCACCTTGTCTTATCTCCTTCCCTGTTTCTCCTCAGCTCCTCCTGAGTTCCTGCAGTGGCCCCAGTCTGTGTCCAAACCAGCAGGGGGCAGTGCTGTTTTCACCTGTGTGGCCCAGGGCGTCCCTGAGCCTCATCTCATCTGGCTGAAGAATGGCAAGGTCCTGATGCCCGGACACAACGTCAAGCTGACCAATAACAACAGGTAGGTGGCAGCAGGGATGTACTGTAATATGAAGTCTATCACTTTTTCTATTTCACCTATTATAAACTGAGGATAAAAAATACTTTTTTCTCAAATGCTGTTCAAAGAAACCAAGTAAAGCTTGAATCAACATGATTAGTTCAGTGTGATCCTGATGGGACAGTTACTGATAAGTTGTTTATCTAGCCTAAAAAATATATGCTAATAATTTCCCCTACCTACGAATCAATGAAACATGAAAAGCTGCTCAATTATAGTAACTGCAGGAGGTTTAACATGTTATACAGAGTGTGCAGATAACTGGACTGTCACAGAATACAGTCCTAGGGATATTTTAAGAAGAAGAACATTACAAACATCTCAGGAATGCATTTGACCATAAAGTTAAGTTTAATGGCAACACAAAATCAGAGCAGTGGCACGTATAAATACAGTGTTGGTGTTGCACTGAATTATGTCATGACAGTGTTACTGAAAGCAGGCAAAACGTAGATGTCAGTTATGCCTCATTTCCACTGCATGGTTCGGCACAACTCAACTCATCTCACTCTTGGTACCAGGTGCTTTTCTCTACATTATTTTCCACTGTTGGTAGTACCTGGAGCGTTCGGTTTGATGAAAATGAGAAGTTGGTCTGAATGGCAAAATCCCAATCTGTGCAGGCCACCACTAATATACAGCAGAGCCTTTTTTCAGTCCTGCATTTATCAGTTGTACCACATGGTGGCAGCGATGCACAGAGAGTGTGGGGCTACTGAGCCCTGATTGTCCTCTGATGTTCAGTGTGTGGTCTACGACAAAAGAATTACAAAGAAATTCAGTCCATCCATTACAATATTCAGTCTGTGCAGTATGTTTATGAATGGTGGCACAACCATATATTTAGGTGTTGATGCTGAGTGCTTTGATATTGTATGCAATTTATTAAAGAAAATGACCCTTATAATGTGGGTGGAAGGTCCTTAGATTCTCGATAACTATCTAATCTCAAGATGAAACTGTCCTCTTAAGATGCATCATTACATAATTATTTCATCATGTGTGCATCTTGTATGTGTTTACCCAGAGTGCATGCAGCAGATCACACAAGGAAATTTAATTGTATTTTACCTACTAACCAACCAATGCTAGAATACAACCTTTACCCAAGTTTGTTGACTGATTAAATGCCTTGTAATTTGGAAAATATGCAAGCACATTATGCACTAAAGAGATATAGGTATTAAAACTAGATTTGGACACGGGGTCTCTCATAAGATACCACTTCAAAATAAATTAAAAATGCTTTATTGCTTTAATTTATAGTGTGTTTTGGAGCATAATCCCAAACAAATTTGCACTTTTTAAATTTCCCTGTTGGGATGGGATGAAGTTATTGAGGTGAATTAAAGTTAATTAAATTCTTCACAAAGCAGACCTTTGGGCCACTTGCCCAATTTGCCCAGCTTTGAGCAGCGGCAGTAGTAGAAGGAACCATATGGGTAAAAGTTGGGAGGGTGAACAGCAGTAACAATAGCAGGAATGGAGGGAGTAACACAAGTATTGGAAGTATTGATACTGTATTTCTAATATGGTATGAGTGTTATTATTAGTATGTAGTCATCATAATAGTGATGGGCCTACTATAGCTGTAGCTGGAGTACAGGTATTACTAGTGCAATGTTTAGTTGTACTCACAGTATTGCCTTCCCAGTAAATTGATACAGCTATGTGTTATCTTCACAGCACTCTGGCTCTGACCCGTATCAGCTCAGATGATGAGGCCATCTACCAGTGCATTGCAGAGAACAGTGCTGGTACCAATCAAGCCAGTGCCCGCCTCGCCGTGGCCCAGGTGAAAGACCTGCCCGCCGCTCCCCAGGGCCTCAAAGCCAGCGTGCTGTCAACCAACGCCCTGCAGATCACATGGAGCCAGCCACCCGCCAATGTCACTGAAAGCATCATCGGCTACGTCCTGCACATACGCAAGATAGGAGGTGAGTGTCAGCGCACATTCACAAGAGCAAGAGTGTACTTTAGAAAGATGCCATCTTAACTTCAAAATGTGTAGTCACAATAATAACTTAATTCTAATTCTGTGTGTGTGTGTGTGTGTGTGTGTGTGTGTGTGTGTGTGTGTGTGTGTGATTCAGAGCCTGACAGTCTGGAGCTGCAGGAAGCCATCAGTAAAGGTACCTTCCAGCATGATGTGACCAACCTGGAGCCAGCCACCACCTACTCCCTCTTCTTGAAGGCCTACTCCCCTCTGGGGGCCAGCCAGCAGTCCCACACTGTGGTGACTACAACACTAGGGGGCGGTAAGAACATGAAGCACTGATGAAACCATGAGGAGTTCATTTCTGCTCCTTCTTCTGAATCATGTTTGTCATTATTATTTTACATCACTGTGAATGATACTGGTCATCGATCAAAAAATGATGAAAAGAGAGAAGATCAGTGAGAATTATCTTTCAAAACAGTAAAGACAATATTTTGAAAAGTCAGGTATTAGAAATAAGACAAGTCATGTTGAAAGAAATAAGACTTAAATATCCTGAGATGGAATAAAATTCTCATCACTCTCTGTGTTCTGTCTCTGCTCTCTGTCCAGTGCCAACCGCTCCGACCTTCTTCACCAAGGTGGTGAACTCCAGTGCCGTGCAAGTCCTGTGGGAGCTCCCCAGTAAGGCTGGTAAGGCTGAGGGCTTTAGGCTGTCCTATCGCAGGGTCCCCCACGCTGACTATCAGACGCCAATCCAGCTGCCCTGTCACGTCAATGCTCACACCATTGCTAATCTGGGTGAGTATAGGAATACAGAGCTTGCTTTGTCCTTGGACCACTTAATAAACAAATATTAATCATATTTATCTGTATATGTAATAAATAATTTGAAAGGTTTTCAGCCCAGCACAGGTCAGGTGTAGGCTGGGGTGTTTCTAAGATTTTAGGGCATTCAGGCATCAGCCTAAATCTCTGTCAGTCCTACCCTGGCACATTTTTGATAAACCACTCCAATCCAATCCAACTTTATTTGTAAAGCACTTTAACCACAGAGTACCAAAGTGCTGTACAGAAGAATAAATAAAAGACAATAAATAAAAGACAAAACAGCTCGCACAAGGCATAAAATACAAGTAAAATAAATTAAGAGACATAAAACATTTGTAAAAAATAACAGCTATACAACAAAAACACACAATAAAATAAAATAAAACAAGCAATAAAACAAAAAAAAAAGTCAGCATCTTACAGGGTGTCAAAGGCCAGGGAGAAGAGATGGGTTTTAAGAAGAGATTTAAAAAGAGACAGAGAATTCGCCTGTCTAATGTGCAGAGGCAGATCGTTCCACATTTTAGGAGCTGCCACAGCTCTATTTTGTTGCTTTTCTACTTCAAGTACAAAGAAATTCCCAGTGTTAATCTTACCGTAAATTAGTAAATGGTTGGCGGGCCACTGGGCACCTTATTGCAGGCCAATTCTGCAGTAATCTGAGAACCACTGGTGTAAGATCTTGCCCTCAGTCATGTTTTTCAGACAGAGTTTTCTCTCAGGTTGGGCACAACCTGTAGCTGACACATTCTAACTCCAACCATCAACCTAACACTGAGCCTAATGATGTATAAAAATGAAATCTTGCCAGGTCAATACACTGAAAAACTGCTCCCTCCCACATTTTAATCAGCATGTACTATACAACAGGTCAGCACTGACAATAAGAGCTGCAGGTGCAATGAAAAAGAAATGAATAGAAAAAAACATAAACATTTCCACATTATACTAACAGGATGTTGTTCACTCCTTGTTGTCTGAATAACAGCATCCACCTCTCCCTTCACATTTGTTTACACAGTGACTCCTCCGGGCTCAATGCCTGTAACCATAACAACACACACGTCTTGGTTACTTACAAAACAATATGATTGAATTGGAATACAAGACATCAGCTTCACAGTGCCGTCTCCCATTACTTGATTCTATTTCAGAGGCAAAATGTAACACCTCTCTGAAACACAAAATGCACAATTTGGACAAAATCTGGCACCACTGACTGTCAAATGTGTCGCATTGTTGATTATGCTGTGGGCAGTAACTTGTCCCCCTTGTCTTTTTGAGCTTTTTACAGTTTTATTTAATAGGTCTCTTTATGGTCAGATATAGACTATATGTGATTATCTAAAGGTCTGCCTCTATTTGCCAGTCTGTCCATCAGTATGTCCTTTGCACACTTATGGGTAGGTGCGTATAGTAATAGTGTCAAAGGTGAACGTAACAAGCGGACAAATCAACTGCAGCTTATCTTGGCAGTGCCAGAGGTTTATGTTATTCCATAGAAAGCTGTAAGGAAGGACAGCACGTCAGCCAAGCATGCAATAATGTGTAATTACTTTAAAGGCAAACATACAATTCAACAAGAATTGAGTATCATAAGTGAATAGTAAAATGTTTTGGTTTAGGTGAAAGCAACTTACAGCACCCACTGTCTTAAAATGTTGCTTGTAATTAGTACCAAATTACATAGATCTTTTCAAGAGTTCTTTCAAACGTCCCAGAACATTATAAGGAAACTACAGACCTGGAAAGTATTACCACTTTTATTTATGGCATGTCAGCATGTTTATTTATTCTCTCTACTTAGAGAAAACACTATAAAATTAAGATGATTAAAAATGAAATAGTCATAGCTGACCATGAGAAAATATTTCCTGTCAAGCGGCAGCTTAAATAAAGGCTGAATACTAAAGGGTTATCGACAGAATAATGAGCCTACAGATATGCCTGAATAACTCTGTCTGTCTATTATCAGTCAACCTCTGCTCCTTTACTCATCTCTAACAACTGTTGTCAACGCTCTCCCTAATTCACTGAACACGCATTGATCCTCACAGCATAAGTGCAGTCAATGACAATCATATTTCATGTGCCGCATGACAATCGCCTCATCGGTTCATCATTTAGTAGCACTGGATGTAATTGAAAGTGTGGCGTAGTGGTTCAACATACACATCATGTCTTGGTCACAACAGGCAGCATGCAGCAGGTGTTTTAAGGAATGGATGCTCAATACCATTTCTGTAAAAAGGATAGTGCCACTTACTGATTGAGTCAGTTAAATTCACAGCATGAAATACAATCACCAGTAGAAAGGAGATTGTTAAATGGGATATCAGTGATCCAGAAAGCCATGTAATGTGAGAACAAGACGATGTGATGTGGTTTAACACAAAGACACAGTTGGGTTTTGTCACATAAAGTGTGAGATTATAATGAATAACCTGGAGATAATTAGCGTGTGCACTTGCAATCCCTGCACCACCAATCCAATAGCCAGTGTGTGGGTTTTGTAGTAACAGGTAACTTGAGTATGATTGTGCTTAAAAATGACACACATCCTCAGCGGAGACAGTCACTTAAATGAAGACACAAATCTTTTCCCCTTTAAAAACATTGTTTCCAACTGACTGATTCTGTGTGGGGGCCTTCTGTTTCAGATCCAGGCGCAGTGTATGAAGTCAAACTGGTGGCCTACAATGGAAACGGGGAGAGTGACTGCGCCAAGAGGCTGGTGTCGCTGGCAGAGGAAGGCTCAAGTGACAAAACCACTGGTGAGTGTGATCACAAACTGTGTCCTGGAACAGCTTTCAGCAGTACTGAGAAGGAAAAGAAATTGTATCATTAATTCCATATCACCCTTTTTTTTTTTTTTTTAATTCACGCTCGACTGAAAATTAGAAAAGACCAGCATTTCTTTGAAATATATATAACCTTAAAAAGAGATTTCATATGACATCTACAAGTCAGAAACTGTTAAAATATATTATACATGTGAAATATAATGAATTTAACCTAGTTAATATATTATTAAATAGATACAACAAACACCTAATATCCCAGTTATGTAACAAAGTAGAAAACTCAGAAAATGATTTGGCAGTCTATGTCAGAGGTCAACATTTACTATTAAAGGCATCTGTCTGAAGCACAAAACATATACATCACATTATAGATAAATCAAAAATGAATTAATATCACAGGATAAATACTTCTTAAAAGTTCTTTTAGCTGCTAGAAGAAGCTCTAAAACTGAAATGGCTGCCAGACAGAGACCACCAGACTGCAACTGTCAATTAAGTTATTGTATGAAGTGCCTGAACTTGGCCTTTAAACCATAATATCAGCAATGTGTAAAACACTGGAAAAAGCTGACTGTTTATGTGCCAAATGTTAGTTTGGCTGCAGCTCAGATTTTTTTTTTTCATTTTGAGGATATATTTCATTAGTGCCGTGTTTGCTTCCAGGAGAGAACAGTCTGTGTCAGTGCAGGGAAGGAGAGGCCTCTCTTGGCAGCATCGTCATTGGCATCCATATCGGCACTGCCTGTATCATCTTCTGTGTTCTTTTCCTCATGTTTGGATACCGCCGCAGGTAAGTACCAATACACTGTACATCCTTTTTACTATGTATTTATACACTATCATGAGGTATTGTTAAATTATAACCCACTTGATTATATATCATGTTTACTGTGATATAGAAACCTGAACCGGACTACATCATTGATCAATAGGATGGGCTTTTTAAAATTCTGCACCTTCATGAATTATTCTTTTGTTCTGCTGATGTAATGCTATACAGAGTGTGCACTTATAGATGGAACCTGTTTGCAGTCTGTTTTGCAGTAAAGGGACTCAGGACAGCTGGTCTGTACCGAGGGACAGCACAGGACACAACGGCATCCCTAAAGATGGAGCAAACCGCCCCAGAGTAGAGCCGGTGCCTCAGGTAGTCACTCCAAATATGCTGGTCATAGCTTCATTTATTAAGCATAAAGTCGTTACCATTTCAAGTATTTCTCTTAGGGTAGGAACTTGGAACAAAGTATTATATTTGAAAATTATATTTTAAAAAGTTTGAAAATCTCGATTAGAAATTGTTAAAGTGTCCTCCTGGTTACTTCAAGATCAGGAATAGCCTCAGGTAAGCTGCCTTGCTAACGACTATTCATAGATAGTGGTTTGGAATGATGTTCTGACATTCTGCCATGTGGACACATTAAAAAGGGGGGTTCTCGGTATGTTCTCAGAACTATGAAAAAAATCCTCTAGGTCAAAAATACCCATAAAAATTATCGATATTTTGTTGCAGTGCTTATGCATGTCATAAAAAGTTCCATATTTGAATAGTATCTGATTTCCTGTCTTTGTTCTCTCTTGTTTCTTTCCTGTCCTGTCTCTTCCTGTTAGCAGGTGGTCTGTCCAGCGCAGTACCAGGTCGTCATTGAGCAGCACTTGTCAGGTTTGCCTGGCACGGACACTGGCTAACACTGGTCAATGATATCAACACCAACATCCCTTTCCTTCTCCCCCCAGCAGTCTACTCACTTATGAAACCCAAGCCTCCCATTAATGAGCACCTTCTGTGCCCTTTGATAGGGGTCAGTCATAGGTTTCTTCATCCCAGACCTGCTGCTAATAACCTGAAAGTAGCCTCCATAAAACTGTGACAGAAAGCTGATAGAGCTAAGAGATATCCTAGTCCTTTGCCATCCCACCCCCATCCTCCAATTCTACCTCAAACCAAAGCTTATTGCCTTTATTGCCTGTGCATGTGCACATGTGCATGTAGAAAAAGCCTTCAAAGAGCATTGCCACTCCAGATAAGGTCTTGTCACATTCTTCTTGCATGCACACCACAAACACTCATGTCAGTTTTTTTCCAGTAGGAGTCTGTTCCATAACCAAAATATTATATTTCTCAGATCTCCTCTGGTAAGCTGACATGTGAAGATTGTGCACCATGGTGTTAAAACCTCAAATTAAGCCATTATTAGTCTGTTGTGACAGAACTCTAGACTTTGCCTTCAGTTCCTCTGCAATAAGAAAAGGAAGAAACATAGTGGCCTTTGCGAACGCCTTATGAGGGGGAAAGTCGGATTAAAAATGATTGTCTATCACCATATGAGCCATTTAGAGGAACAATGTAAACAGGCATTCTTTATTCAACCCTTCCTCAACCAAAAGCTGCATACCTCCAAAGAAAGCTACCTCAGTTTTACAAGAATGTCTGAGCCATACTTGAGGCCGATTTTAGCCTGATTATGCAGCGTGTGCTAGCCTACCTCAACCAAAAAATACTGACACCCTTTCCCTTCAGCAACCACTTCCTCGACCAGTGCCAGTGATCCATGTCAGTCGCCAACCAGGACAGTCCAAAGATTGCTCACCAGGATGACTACCAGGGAGAGCGGAACTGTGGCAGAGCCTCAGTTCCACTGCCACAAGCCTTAGTGAATCGGAGATCGACAAGAGCCTTAACGACCTCCTCTTCAAGCCAGGTCACCTTTTGTTTCCGTCAACACTGCCAGTTTTGGTGGAAATCTCCAACTTTTCTGATCTCACATCAGCAGACATTAAGGAGTACATGAAGTTTTTGCCTCCTTGATTACTCTTGCTCAACTATGTGGCTATTCATGGCTCTCAAATACCCACGAGGATCCATCTCCAAAGACATATTTGTGCAGAGAATGTGGCTCATGGAAAATATGGACGTCAAAGAATGTTTTGTGAACCATTTAAGCAATGCATTCAATTTTTTTTTTCCATGAAGCCCATCAAAGAAAACAACATCAAACTAACAGGATGCTTCTTTGATCTGCACACCTGCAAACCTGATAGCGTACTGATGCTAAGCCAAAAAACTACTGCTTGAGGCCATGCAGCCAAGTTCACTCTCCAGATGCCAAATCGGTTACCCTGGGACCTCGATGACACTGAGTTGGCGGCGAAAGAAGTTTTAAGGTGACACGTGCCTGAATGCACGGATGAGGCTCGTGTTTCACCGTGTCAGCCTATCCAAAAAGTTCTTCTATGAAAACCAAGCTGAATGATACCCAAAGATGTAAACATTTTGATGGTTTTCCTTTTTTCCTTTAAGAAATTATTTTAAGAGAGAATACATTTACTTAAAATTTTTGGATGTTCCTGTTTGATAGGGGTCGCCTGTGTGAAAAGTGCTTTAACTGAACTCAAGCCAAAAAAAAAAAATTCTCATGATTTTGTTGTCATTTTTTTTTTAAATAATACTTTTCATATCCTTAAGTTTGGTCATTCCAGGTGCACCCTTCAACATGGAACCCTTTATTTTGTTGACAACTTTTAACTTCTAGTGAGCGACCAAATGAAGATGTCAGATATTTTGAAAGACTTTCTATGTCAATACTATAAGGAATACTTGCTTTCTTTTTTAAAGTAGTTCGATTCTTGCCAAATATTTAGCTATCTTAAAGAAATATCTAACCAAATACCTCTACATTTTTAACATTCAGAGTCTTTACCTTTAAACCTCCTCATAACCAAAGCACAGCAACACGCTTTGTGAGCGTGATTATATACATGTGTGTGAATGACGAACAATAGGTGAACCTTGAGGGCAGCAGCTTTGAGAAGAAACCAAAAGTTAGATTTAAAAAAGTTGCTTTTGACCCTAAGCTTTTTATACAAAGCCTTCCAAAGAACACAACTGCATTTAAAGTCCAGCTGATAATGAATTCCACATTTTATTCTAACAAAACAGTGCCCAAAAAGCAGAAATTAATTTTGCATGTCTCAAATAATTTTGTTATTGTTTCTATATTCTTTACTTATAATGTCGCCTTTTTATCACTGACACTGACTAACCCACCCAGTTGCCAGAAAAATGTTTGCATTGTACATTTCTGCAAACCACTGATATGCTACATTTGTATGTAATTATGTAGGGGATGCAGTGAAACTTTACATTTTAACAACTCTGTGTTTAATGTGTGCCATTTTAAACAGAGATAGTGCCATATGGAAGACCTGCCATTATGCTGTCTTTGCTTTTTTACACCTAACTAAATACATTATGCTGACCTCACTTTGATATAATTTTGTCTGCAAACATGCATGATTGATTGTGATTTCAGATGGACTTTAAAAAAAGGTTTCCCTACTGAAACCCTGAAAATAATGCTTTGAACCAGGGTTTCAACCATTGCTTTACATCTTGGCTGAAGAAACTCACATATCTTTAACCAAAAGTGTGTTTTGCCTCAAGCTTTAATGGTCCTCAAGGTTTATCTTTACCCTTTCCTAGTATTTTAGCTTCACTCAAAGCAGAACTTTATAAAAGATAAGGGCTTTTCCCCTTGTCTCCTTTCTGACATGTTAGCTGTTAACCAATGCGATACCAAAAAGCGTATTTGATATGGAAGACCTAAAAAGTCGATGTGTTTTTTGTAGTGTGAAGTGTGTAGTGGTTAAACTAGTTTTTAAAATGGAAAGCATTTGTTGCTTCTGTTTGGAACGATTCATTTCTCTGTCTCTTTTCATTTGAGTCTTATGTTCTTCCTGCTGTGCACAGGAAAAATTGCCAAAGCAAATGTTTGCTTTTTTTGAAAAAAGTTTTTATTGTTATTATTATTATTATTATTAGATCTCATAACATTAATTATGATCATTTCAACTGTTTTCTTTTGTTGACATGTGTACGGATGATATGATTGTTAGGATTAATTGATGATGGCCTTTGAGCAAGTGATGTGATTTTTCCAGAGACACTAAATTTAAGACTGGAGATTTCTTGAAGCCAAACTCACGTTCTGCCCTGAAGAGCCAGCGACTAGAAGAAAATGAACCTCAGAAAAAGGAAAAAAAAAACGTAGGACAGTAGAGACTGGCTGCTAGTACCAACGAGAAACAATGCTTTAATGATTATAAGTGCTTCTCTGTTCTCTAAGCTTTCCACTGGTGTAATGTAGCCAACTGAAAACCTAAAGCTTTAAACTGTTGTGATTAAGGCCCCGTCCTCGGTCTTTGGCCAAAATGAAAATGTTTGGAGGTACAGGACATGACTATAGATAAGCTGGAAACAGAGATCAAGCTGTGACATGGAAGGGTTTGACTGTACACAAAATGGTGTCAGTTCACACAAATGACTAAAAAACCTCATAGTTGTGTTTCCCAATGTTTTTTCCACTAATCCAGTAAAATGGAAGTGGACGGAATTTCTGTAGCTTTAAACTAGACAGTGCAACTTTTGAAAGAAAAAAATTGAGATACCACAAGCGGTAAGAGGGCGATAAATGTTTTTTGGTGATTTGTTTGAACTGACCCTTTGGTGTTATTTATTTATTTATTTAGCCTACAAGCCCCTGCTGTAAGTCTCAAAGTTGTAAAGGTAATTACAAGACAACACCAGTTCTTTGGCCATGGACACCGGTGGTGCTCATATGACAAATTAATTGCATATTTATTGTCAGGCAAATCCTGATGGTACTGAGTGTCCATAAGCTACTCTTCTTTGAAGCAATGTGTTTCTGTTGAGTTTTGCATATAAACCAAATAACTTATTAAGAAATGTATGATAATGAGCACAGAAGAAACATCACTTTAAAGCTAAATCTGGTGTCAAGTTTTACATTTTTACATAATTATTAAAGTGTGATATTTTAAATTAAGAAAAGAGTTAAAATTACCTGCTAACTTTGAACTCTCTGATTCCTGCCAAACAGCTTGGGCTCTTGGTGACTGCTCTATCTGAATGTCTGACCTGACCTTTGCCTTTTTCTCCTTCTTTGATCACATTCCAACATGCCTAAAACCAAATAAAGACTTTTTGCCTAATTAATGTTTCTCTATTTTACTTTTGTTAGCATTTAGCAGATGAATGGTGTTACCAATGTACCACCTAGTGTGTGCTGAGATCCCTTAAGCCCAGTTCAGATCGAAGATTTGCAATGAGACAAGTTGAAACAGGCAACTACTTGCAATGCGCCGTTCTGCAGTGTTCTAAAAACCTGCCGGTTCACACCATTTCAACTAGATGAGATGGTGTACCAACTCTATGCAACAACTCTTTGTACCTAAGTTCTGATTTCCAGCTTTTCAAGCTTGTTTTGTGGCTAAATATAATTTGTTGCTTCTTAAAATATGAATGATTATGATAGTGAGATACTGGCTGAAGGTGCATTTGTAGTAGTGATGAAATGGCAAAAAACATAAACAAAACAAGCATCAGATACAGCACATACAGCGAGTACCAGCAGCAACCCACTGTCCAACACTGGCACACCTGTCCCGCCAAGTGAACACACTGTCATTTTGACTTGGCCAGTGGACGTCACTACAAGATGACTGGCTGTTGAAACTGGTGTAAATCAGCCACTGGCGATTTGACTAGCAGAGCTGCAGATTACACCATCAGCCAACTTGAGTTGAATTCAGACTGGCCAGTTCATACCGCTGCAACTTTTCTCTGCAACGTTCTAAAACAGTTTCGTCTCATCGCGAATCTTTGGTCTGACCTGGGCTTTATATTGACAGAAAGATTACATACATACTGTGGCATTGTTTGTGCCCACTGTTTAAATGAGGCCTGCTCATGACATCATGCATCAGTCCACATACCAGCTCTGGACTTTCAGTGAAAATGCCTCCTTATGTGTTGTTATGGCCATCCAAACAACATGTGTTTGGTTGGGTTCATTCTACATACTTAACAAGAAAGAGCTTGTAAAATAATTAACTGAATGCCATGTAGAATTATTGTTTATGATGCGTTTTTTAAACTACAGACCATGGGAAAGACATGATGAGTTGAGTGTCATCTGCATAGCTGTGGTAGGAAAAGCAATGTGAGTAAATTACAGAGCGAAAAAGAGAAGAGGGGAACCAGAACCAAACCCTGAGGAACCACCGCAGCAAAGCAACAAGGATCAGACAAAGATTCTCTCCAAGTTACCCTGTAAGTGTGGCACTTTAGGGTTAGGGTTAGGCTCACTTCCATTAAAAGGGAGCCTACACTGTGCTGTGAACACTGCAGTCCATTGATGGGTCAATAGAGGATGGTCACTCTGCTCAGGGCTGAGTTGTGTCTGGTTTTGAGGCTTATGCAACCACTGTTCATACTGAGAAGAGTTTTATTAGTAAACTGCAACTATAAAATGAAAGGATATTTTGCTGCCTCTTGTAGCAGCTGGAGTCAGAGAAAAAATAACTTAACTTTTAAGGTGGAACATTAACTTGAAATGTTACTCAATGCATGAGTTGACAATTACAGTTTGTTAATATATTGCAAACTCTCCACAGTATTAACTGTGGTTACATGAGCCTCAAAACCAGCCACACTTCCGCCCTGTGCAGAGTGAACGTCCTCTGCTGATCAATCAGACAGACTGCACTGTTCACAGCTCCACCTTTTAGTACAAGATCTTTATGCTAGGTACCCCAGCAAAAGGGGTACCAAAAATGGGGACAGTACGGAATGGTTCCATTGGTACCATCCACAAGGTGCCATATGAAAAGTGTTTGGTGGAAACGGGGCTTAAGACGCTTGGTTCTTGGAGGATTTAGAGGAGGATCTAGTGGTTCAGTGTGTCATAATGCTGTTGAAAGGCCAGCAGGATGACAATGGAGATGAGGGAGCTCTCCAGCAGTGTGGATTTCCTCTTTGACAGCAAGGATGGCAGTCTCAGTTGACTTTCCTTTCCTTCTTTTCCAATCCAAGGTCAGACACTCTTGAGGGTGAAGAAATACAACAGCTTTGCAGCATGGCAAACACTACAATCAATAACACAGCCTATATGTTTAGATAAGCACTGCAAGCAAGCCTGCTTCAATATACGGGTGACATTTAAAAAAAGGCAATTAACTTCTTGGAAAGTATATTTTTTGTACAATGTCAGCGTTGGGGATTACATATTTCTGCATAAAAAAAGAGAAAAACTCAGAAATGATTTACATAAAACACACAAATAATCTGAGAATATTGCTCTCCGCATCAAAATTTCAAAATATTCCAAATTATTCGGAGCTCCATTGTAACACACAAGACTTAAATTCTGTCACAACTAATAAGGATATTACACTTTTATTGAGCATATAGTATATAAGATTGATACTTTACATCACACCTGTTTGCACTTATAGAATAATAATGTTGGTACACAAATTCAGTATATCATTACATATAAATTGCACATATATTAGTAAACTGCATACATAACAACAGGTTATTTCGTGCTCATGAATCACAGTTTCACAGTTTTTCTAAAAGGTAAGAAAAGCCAACATTGTTCACCTTCCCATAATGTTCTCATGCATGAGCATCTAACAGCTAACACCTGCATTAAGGACGCTGGGTATTTTGTAACAATGCTTTTTTCCTGAGAGTCAGATCACCACTGTTTAAACAGGGTTCCCACTGTGCTGGTTTGAGCTCAGATCAGACTCCATCTCCACAGCAGCTCCACCGCTGCGAGCAGACAGACGATCCACAGAGCGAGGTGAGGCATTGTTGATTCGGCGACCGCGGCAGCACGCCACAACATCAGCAAGGTCTGCCCGGAAAGATGGTGTGTAGAAGCTGTAGATGACCGGGTCACAGCAAGAGTTCAGGTTGCCAAAGATAAAGAGTATGTGGTGGACATACTCAGGTGTGTGCTTGATAATGGCTGGTTGGAACCAGTACCAGATCCCCAGGAGGTAGTAGGGTGTCCAACAGATGACGAAGGAGCTAACAATCACAATGGTCATCTTGAGAGTCTTAATCCGGGCTTTGGGTATCATGTCTGTTCCACTGCGTCTCAGGCAGTGCTCACCATCTGCAGAAACACAACATGGGCAAAAACTGAAAAATGGGAAGGCATACATTTCATTCTCTTACATTTCATAAATGTAAGAGAATAGATTACCCCCACCTTAAAGGGAAATTTCGGTTTATTTCAACCCGTCTCCGATTGTCCTAAATTTGTTTCAAGTGCCAACACAGAGATGTACAAACAACATAAATCCCACACTGGCTGCAGCCAAAAGCGAACATATTACTTAAAGTTGAATGCTTGCTGGGTGGTGCATTAAAGTAGCAAATAATTAGCATGTTGTTTTTTTCACTTCAGCGTTGGCTTCATTTATTAGCCCAGGAGGTTGCCGCTTGGCAGCAATAGATCAGAATGGACTGCTACTTCTGTAAATGTAGTTTATAGTAGAGTAGCTTATTCTGTCACATTGGAAGCATCCATCAAAATATGCTACTACCTCTGTAAATGTGGGTAAAAATATGCACGTCTCCTCTGGAATATTTTTTTTGCCTCTCAAACACACAGGAAATGTGCACCTCATGTTGGTAGGTCATTCTGAGCATTAGCTCTATTGGTCAGAACACTGGCCCTCCTGACACTCCACCATTGACCATAAACATTTATAACACTTCCAGTGTGTCGGCTGAGTGCAGTGTGACCTCTCTGAATATGGAACTCTGCCCTCCAGCGATCACAAACGCACCTGCAGCTTCTTCACTGCTGCAGCTGCTGATTTATCTTTGTCACACAGTTTATCAGGACTTTTAAAAGTGACTATTGCAATGTACCTATACTTGAAATAAAAGTACATAAAAATAAAGTTTGTTATATCGATGAGACAACATGTAACTCGTTACTTCCCTAGTTAGACCTCCGAATGTCTTTTGAGAGTCACACACCTTTTCTCTTGTGCATTTGCCCATTGATCTTGGTGAGGATGCGGGTGTAGCAGAAAGTCATGACAAGAAGGGGGAAGACATACAGTGTCACAAAGTGAAACATGTTGTATGCCGTTTCCTGCCAGCGAAACTGGAAACTGCCATGGGTTGCACACTGAATGAAGTCCACTCCATCAGCTTTAATGGCCCGAAAGATGAAAAGCTGAGGATGAAGAGATCGCAAAGAGATGAGAAATTAATTTCATGCAGTCACTGAAAAACACAAATGCAGTTTGTTTTATTAAACAAACTATGTAATATATTTGTTTATACAAAATACACAAAGATCCACACAATGCAGGGGGGTTCTTTGACTCTGTGTAGTGTGGGTCCCTTCAAGTGTACCAATTATACCACGTCAGAAACAAAACACTGCAACCAACAGGTTCTTACCTGTTCTAGAGCCAGTTTTAAAAGGTGATGTTCGACATGATTCTGGAGCTTAACTAAGTTGGTTAGTAACTTTCTAGTGGAGGTATGGATTTACAAGAGATTTACACTTGAACTGGAGCACTGTTCATTGAATGGTTGTTAGTGGCAGTGCTATGGGTGAACACAGGGTTGATAACAGCAATGTCAGAGATGGAACACACTTAGACAAATTAACAAGAGGGCTACATCTACTTCAATTAAGCGTCTATACAGCAGCAGTGTGAATACGAGTTTTACTGATCACTCCAATTATAACAAAGTGTTTGCTAATAAACTATAAATATATGATTTAGAGTTAAATTTGATGTGTTTGTCACTGTCAACTAATTCCAGACCAACCAGTAAATGTATCCTGCTAACAAGTATACTGTGTGTGTGCGTGCGTGTGTGTCAAAGCCTATTCCTCTGTGCCATAAAGCTCCATTGTCTCCAACAGATCAATGAGCCATTCTGCTGCCAACCTTGCCAATGACAGTTCACTTTGTCTAATTAGTGGTCTGCAGAGTTTTAACTTTATATTCTAGTGTTCGCTCAGCTTGCTTGGAAACAGGCACCTGGTATAATCCACAACTTTTGCCTATGGAAAACCACAAAAGAACGTTTCCAAGCGAGATGAATAGAGCAATGCCGCACCATGCAGTATAAGTGAAACCTCTGAATATGTGCTTAGATGGAAGTGTGTCTGTCAAGTTGGACCTGTCCAAGGTGTAAAATAATCATCCTCTGACCAATTACATGTTGGGATAGTGTCATGTCACTGTCATGCTAAACAGCAGTACGCATGCAGAATGGTAAAGAATGTCCAGCTAACACAGGTAGGTCAATAATGTGTCCACAGGCACATCAATTATCAGTTTGGCGTGGTTGTGGATTAGTTGCCGGGAATGCACTCTCTCTTTTACTTTTCTGCCCCTGCTGGCCTGTCATTTCCCAACTGTTAGCCAACCTCAAAACATGATTCACAGGTGAAAAAAGTCTAAGCTGCGGTGCTGTTTGATCATTACCACATCTAAAATCTAATGATAGTGGAACTATAAGTCCAATCTGGTGTTAATCATATATGCCTACAATAATAACAGCCTTAAAGATCAATGTGTAACCCAGAACCCACTGTACCTGTGGAGATGCCAGCAGCACACTCAGAGCCCAGGCCACCAGCAGCATGCGTCTGTTCCTGAGTCCAGCATCGAGAGAATCCAGAGGATGGAGGATGGCCCGATAGCGGTCCAGACTTACCACCACCAGTATGAATGCTGCTGAGTGCATGGCAAAGAGCTTGAGGAAACACAGCAGCTTACACATAACATCCCCAGCATACCACTGTACTGTAATATTCCAAATGGCATCCAGTGGCATGACCACAAAAGTCATCACCAAATCAGCTGATGCCAAACTGGCGATCAGCGGGCGGAGATGTGCTGCCAGCCGATAGCCCCGTCCCCAGCACACGCTGATCAGGACTGACAGGTTACTCCCAGCAGAAAAGACAAAGAGCACCAGGGTGGCTGCTACACGACAACGAGCAGCCACAGTGAAGGACGGAACCTTCCAGGGTGGAGGGGAGGGTGGAGCAGATGAGTTCAGCAGGGAGAAGACAAGGCCTGTCTGTAAAGGGTCTGCAGGTGTGGAAACCCACAGAGACACGTTTTCTGTCATCCTGTGGCAAAGAGAGAAAACAATCATTTGACATGGACCATGACCAAACAAAATCTCTTCAACTTCTTTGTTTTGACATTTTTGTCAGTATTATGACATGACCTGCTAACACAAAACATGCAAGCAGTCTCAGTGGGACAAAGCTCCTGCAAGTGTCTGCAAACTACAAATTTGTTACATTTGTATGTCATTCTTAAATCTCATCGGCACTGTGGTTAATGTGTGGTTAGGTTTAGGCACAAAGACCACTCAGTTATGGCTGGAAAAGATGATGTTAAGGCATAAAAATCACAGTTTGGTTGCACAATCATGGCTGGAGAAACCATCAGAGAAAATAATCACTTTTTGTGGCACTGTCCTCAGTTGAAACACGACAAGTCACTGAAAAACAACCGGTTTTGTTGTTTATTGATCTCAAACAGAGGACTGCAGTGGTCTGCAGCTTGGCAGGTGTCTTGCCTCGGGACTCACACCATCTAAACCATTGGCTCCACTTTCCAATGATAAACTCAGCTCATGTACTACGTCAGTAGAAACGTTGATATGCTAGGTATAAAACAAACAAATGCAGCATATTTGTGGTTTGAAGAAATCTGCAAATGTCAATGTTTTCTTCTAGTGAAAGGACAGTGAAGACAACAGCTTGCTTACTAATTAGAAAAACTAAATGCCAGGGTAGCAGGTTGTGCTGCAAACTCCCAGCACTCCTCACTCACTCATGGAAGTTGATATTGATTTTAATTCCTGGATTGGGTACTGTTTTTGCTCTTGAGTTTGCTGGTCATGCTATAGCCTTGTTAAATCTTTTAATACAACAGCTTGTAGTTTGAATTTCTACAGAGGGCTGAAGTCAGAGCTGATCAAAGGATATCAGATTTTGTTGATTTTACATGATGTTGATGTGTTTTCTTATTTTGTTGAAACAGAATCTCACAGAGCAGCAACTTACCCACTAAACCTGTGGAGGTTAAGAGATAAAAACAACCACTTGGCAGAGAAAGTACTGACAGTACTGCTGATTCTTAGGACAAACAAGGTGGACATTTGAAACATGGCACATCATTAATAACATGTTGAATAAAACACCACTAAGTAAATGGTAATTTTTGGTTCATACAAACAATCAAGTGAGCTGATGGATACAGCTAAGATAAAAGTACGTCTGAGTCAGTGGGTTTAACTTAAACTTTAAAGAAAAATATCTGTATTATTATCCAAAACTCCAAGTCAGATTCACTAAACTTTCTTAACTGGACACACTGTCAGCTTGATGAATCCTATTCATGGAGAGGAGCGTGTTCATGAGATGTTGTCATTGGCGTCATCCTGCTCCTAAGAACTGGCATACAAGGACTCCTGTTCTGCTCTGTGTGTGGGGGGCAAGTTTCATTCACAACAATGTTAGCAGAGCCTAAAAAGAGGAATTTCACAATACAGAGCTTCAGGTATTGCTGTTGCAAATCAGCAGAAGATAAAAGTAGTCAGAAGCTGTTTTAGAACGACAATATGTCATCAAAACAAAGCCGTCCATGACTAATATGCTGCAGCAGCAACCAGCATCAGGATCTTGAGACAGCTGCATTTCCTACCTAGTTGCGATAAAAACAAGAAAAATTTGAGGAACCTCTCAGTAAACTGACAAACTAGATAGACAGATGCAAAACATGCATTTTTACAATATGTATGGTACAATAGTGCACATGGGCAAGTAAGAGCAATAAGTTACATAAATAGTAAAAGAGAGCACATCTTATAAAAATAGTAGTGTTCCCTGATGCAGTCATTCTTTGTTCATTGCCTGTACGGCATAGGAAATAAATGACTTCCTATATATGTTTCGACTGGTTCTTGGGACCCTAAATTGATGCCCAGACGGGAGCAGCTCATACTCTGAGTGTAATGGATGTGAGGCATCGGCAGTTATATGTTTGGCCTTCCTGCGTACAGTACTGTCAAATATATTGCTGAGTTGTTTCTCTGACTTGCCAATCATGACCATGATGACATGATAATATGGTGATGAAAACCAAATGCAGAAAACAAAATACAACCAAATACAGGAGCACACTGCAAAAGCAGAAAACCACGCATTGTTTTTCTTATTGCTGCACATGTAAAATTGGTGAAGATATTGGCATTATTTTCTTGTACTTTCTGTATCTGCAGCACATCCGCAACTAGTTTGGTTCGCCCTCATCTCATAGTGTCATGTTTAGACGTGGCAGGCAGCTGTTGTTGGAGAAAAAGCTCTAATAGACCCCCTGTACACTAATTGCTCAGCAGCAGACAGCAGGCAGATAGAGCATTAGCTGGTGAACACCGTGGAGAATGCAACAACTAAAGAGATGGATATTTCACTCAGGAGTTGGTGGAGGCCAAAGCCACACACACCACGAAATAAAGAGACTGTCCTCTTATATCTTTACCCCTCTTTAATAGGAGAGCCAAACTTAGCTTTCTATAGATCCAACTGATGTGCTTTTGACATCAATACCAATGTTTAACCCTCCCCAAATCTGAGGTTTTTATGTTATATTGTAGGCAAGTGATTCTCAAAGTGGGGTCCAGGGACTCCTGGGGGTCAGTGGTACTCTACCAGGGGATCTATGAAAAGTCTTCACATTTATTCATTAAAATCATCATGGCTTATTTTTTAACAAAAGGAATCATAGTTCAAGAAGTGATGCTTTAGTTTTAAAATCTATAATAGTTCATACAACTCATTCTAATCTCACAACAAGTCTATAACACTTAAAATCTGCAAATATGTGTTGGTAAGTGTCTAATATATTTGTAATACAGTAGTTCCTTCACATAACTAAGACTATAAAAGTGTAAAAATAGCAGGTGACATCAAATTTTTCCAAAGGGACACACATGAGGGGCCCCCAGGCACATTTTTAATCTTGTAAACAAAAAAAGAGAGTCTCTGATGGAAGTTAGAAGCTGATGAGTGCTTCAAAAAAAAACTGCGACAGAAAATGACACGACAGCATGCTTTGTAAGGTGATCAGAGGTGATGTAAAGTGTCATTTGTAATTAGCCACCACATGCGCATACCACTGGTCCTCATCAGTAGAAGGCGGTGCAGGAGCGCCCTCTGCTGGCGGACCACTGCACGTCTACATGTGTTGTTGCACCAAAGAACTCAGTATAGGCAACGTATGACTCAAACGCACAGGTATCATTTAATTCATTTCCACACAATAAAATCAAACACAACTCCTCTGGTCTTTTAAGAATAACAATCTGAGTGAATGTATTCTCCTCTTTATTTAACTTTTTCCATATTCTCAGCTGCATATGTTTGACTGCATTACTCCGATACTGGGGGTGAGGGCGGGGGGACGCGCCCTCGTCCCCCACCGACCTGCACCCACTGGTACTGACTCAAACACATTAAACCATATCTGTAAGCACACTTTAGTACTTTAAGCTTCAAAAACACAATCAGCAGACGTATTTCTACCTGGAGGAGAATCTGGTGAGTCCACTGGTGGTCAGATGAAGAGAGGAGCAGAGCGGAGCTGTCCAACGTGCTGAAGCATCACTTTCCCTGCTCCCTGTCCTCCAGACGCACACTTTTTACCATCTGATAAATCAACGAAAATTCAACCGGAGCAGTGTGATGTTTTTTTGCATCGGTTCCATCTGCTCCCTCCATCAGCCCGCATGCACACACACACACACACACATTCACACACTTAGACACACATATACTGCCTTCTACAGAGAATATCTGTACCGCATGAACGAGGAGCCACAAGAATCAACGCCGATTGGTTAATTAGGGTTGGTGACGTGCGAGGTGTTGCAGCGGTAGCCACCTTTGTGACAGAGAGGCATCCTGGGGAATTTCCAGTATATTATGTGCTCTTTATGCAGAGGTGTGGAGATGATGGGCTCTGCCAGGATCATGTTTACAGTTTTAAAATGTTTACACATGTGGCTGTCTGCAGCTGTAACATTCTGTACCTGCCTACTTTCATTGACCTGTCCTTTGCAGTATATTGCAAAAATATTACCCCATATATTTCAAAAACATTACCACGACAGGCAACCACGTATTGCTGTCCGAAATAATTGCAAGCAAATAAAGGCTAAATAATCATAAATAAACTTAGCAAATTGCCATTATTAATACTATTGGTTCGAGTATTTCAGTGTACTGCAGTTCTGCGTGTGGTTTGTCCAAGTGGTGTTGTCATACGCCAAGCAAAGCTGTTGCTCGACTGCTGTGGACAGGTACAATCAATGCCAAACACTGTCTCTCTTAATGTCATTGCTTTCAAATGTATTAAAAAGTGGAAAGCTAGATTGTAATATGAGTGTTCTGTAGGGTATATCACTGTCGACTGTTATAGTGTTAGACTATCATAAATAAGGTCAGTAATATATCATAGTATAGTAATTAAAAAAGAAAGTCATTGTGTATGCATGATAATATCGGCTCGTCATCGGTATTGGCCAATATCGACTTTAAAATGAAGTATTGGAATCGGCCAACATGCTTTTTCTTAATTTGCGCAATTAACGAATATTACATGCATTGTAAAGTATTGCATTTCATGTCTCCATCAGCTGATGGGCTATCATGATAAGAGTATGTATGCACAGTCTGATGTTGATCCCACTACAGAAGGGACTTACTCAGAGAAAAAAGTGGACATAGGCTACTGATACTGGTATTGGTTATTCCTCAACTGTTTTGTTACAGGCATATCAAACATCGGCAAAAAATCCAATATCTGATACTTCTTCTGGCTCCCTCAAATGGCGTTCAGTCATCAAAACTTTGGGAACCCCACATCTAAGATTTTGTTTTAAAATGCTATAAAATAGTCACTTTAGCTGCTATGTTTCTGAACATTTATCCTGAAGGCATTTTGCCCCAGACACCCCTCGAGGATTAGTTGCAGAAGGTGTAGATCGAAAATGGTCCCTCTGTCCCCCCAGTATTAAATAAGTGATTACGGCCCTGCTTCTCGGTGTAAAGGAGCATGCATGCTCGGCCAACAAATATCTGCATTGTGTGCAGGGGATATAGCAGATGACACTGTGAATTTCCTATGTAAAATATCTTATTCAAGATAAAGTAGCGCTCCAAGTGCTAGATAAAAAGTATCACAACCCACTGACATGTTCAGACTTTTAAAGTGGCAACCAGTTTACAGTATATGAATTCCATTTAATGTGTTTTATATGATGCAGACTGAAAACAGGTTGGTGCAGTATTTGAAATATGGTTAACCTGATTACATTTATCTTCAAAAGTGATGGGGCTCTGTGTTTCTGATTGACAGCTTTTAAAGGTTGAGATGTGACAACACATGTCGATGAATGTATTCAGCAGTAGAGAGTGTGATGCAGATACAGATACAGAGGACAGATACGAGAGCCTCTTTTCACGTACATTCCAATTTCTTGTATTTTCTGATGTCATTTATGAGTCACCTCAGTAATGTCTGTGGGTTCAGCGTCAGTGATGGTCCTATCTCTGATTCAGCCTTATGTGTGCTACACATCAATACTGAGGGCAGGCCAATATGAGTTCTTTGATATTCATACAAATGCTGTCTATTCAGAGTTTTTGAGGACTTTATTTTTGCAGGTCAAATATTGTTTGTTGAATATCAAAACAGATGAACAGGCACATCCAGACAATGAGCTCCCATTAAGGCACTATGCCATCCAAAGACCTCACTCACTATCATCACCACCACCACCAGCATGACGTTAATAACACCTTTTAAACTCTTTCGCAGAATGAGTCAGACATAATTACACTCATGACTGGATCAATCTGCGTTAAGGCCCCTGCTGCAAAAACTTGCTGCTGGGCCCCTATTACCCCTATTATTTTTTGACAAAGCGCCTGTCATGAGGACACAACGTATACAGCAGGACAAAGCTTGAGGTCTTTGTCATAGCCTGCTTTAGTCGTAAATACTCCCATATTTCCAAATACATCACCTCAAAACAATGTCCACATAATGAACCTGGAGCCCAACAGTCTGGAGCCCGCTTTACCTGGTTGATAATTCAGCCTAATTGTGTATAAATCGCCTGTGGCTCAGCGCCCAAATATACGTCTGACATGCTTGTGACACATAAACCTTCTAGGACCCTGAGGACGTCTGAGGCTGGCCGATTAACTGTTCCAAGAGTTAAAACAGAACATGGTGATGCAGGGTTTTGTTATGTGGCACAAACCTGGAATAACCTCCCAGATGATGTTATACATGTTAATCTTATTTTTTAATCTTTGCACCTTTTATCTGCATCTTTGCTATTTTTAATGGTGATTTTTTAATTGTAAAATTTAGAATAGCAAATAATACAATTAATACAGTAATCAATTTTACCTTTTATATCTTTTCTCTTTACTCTTTTATTGTAAAGCTGTAACCATTATTATGTTTTATATTCTATTGCTCTGTAAAGCACTTTGAATTGCCCTTGCGTATGAAATATGTTATACAAATACAGCTTCCTTGCCTTGCTTAATTATACTTTGGCCTGTTTTAATGTGACATCATAAAGCATTATGGCGGCTTACAGCAACTCCTGAAATGCATTATACACATATCAAAATGAAGTATGAATAGGCACACTTTTTATGCTGTTACATTATAAACGTGGGCTTTATAAATGCTGTTACCAAAAGATTCTTGTGTGTTTTTGAGCTGGCTGCAGGTAAGTCAAGAGGACTCCTTAAGATTTTTGAATAGCCTCTTACAAACACAACTTGGGTGCACATCATCACAGCTCAGCTGAGGGGAAAGTGCTCACAAAAGTGGTTAATAACCGGACTGTCGATTCCTCATTAACTCTGCAGGGGTGCATGTTGTGCCACTGTACTGACCAGGACAGGTTGGTTGACTCCGGTAGCAATACTGATTAACTTATGGATGGCGTTTGCTCTTGGGTGTGTTGTTTTGTGAGGATATAGAAAACCCAGATAAAACCGTGAGGCACAGTAAGATCTAGCTCCATAAGTCATTTCTGTTAAACAAAGAGAAACAAGCAGTTAAGCTAGGCAACCATTCTGCAAAAAGAATTGAAATGTACAAAGACAAACTAGAAGACAAACTTGGATGTCAAGAAAACTATGGCTGGTCTGCAGTAGAAAAGTAGAAGAGTGTCATTAAATCTGATGATTTATTGGGTCAGGAGATCAATGAATTTTACCTCAGATGTGATGTTCATAACTTCCTAAATTAATCTGAACAACTAAGGTATATCATCTCTAACTCATCCCGCTCACTACATTTGATGAACATACTGTAGTTAATACTTTTAAGTGCTAAAAAAAATCAACATAGGTCGACAATTTCGCTATAACACTGAAAAAAACAACATAAAAAAATAAACATATTAAGATTCAAAATGAACATGGGTTATGTATAAGTTCATCTTCCATAAACATACATATTCAGTCCAAAATAATAGAAGAATGTACATATTATCTATAAAATAAAATGTCCTCTTTATTTTATCTTACTTTAAAGAAGTCATCAGACAACTTCAGGGTATCACTTCAGGGTATGTCCCCCATGATCTCCATCAGTGGTGTCCATCTTTGTATAAAAAATTCCTTCTGTATTCTGAGCATACATGCAATTATTTTCCCATTGTATCAACACTTTCAATTGTTAGTACTCAGCATAGAAGCTAAGAACAATCACCCAAAGGTCCTGAATGATTATATGCCAATGGCCTTGACCTCCCAGGTCATGAAGTCCTTTGAAAAAGATAAGACATGACCTTCTGGACAAAACCCAGCACCTTCTTGATTAATTTCAGTTTTCATACAATGCCAGACATCTGTACAGGAGGCGCCTCCATGTTTGACCTTTTATTCAAACACCTAGCAGGCAGTGAAACTCACACTGAGTTATTTGCTGATTTCTCCTCAGCTTTCAACACTATTCAACCCCTCCTGTTAGTGGATAAACATTCCAACTACTTCAGTGTTGACTCTAGTTTCTGCTGGTTGGATCCTTGACTTCATCTTGAACAGAACCTGGAGGGTGAGGGTAAATTTGTGACTGTCAGGGGAGCTCTCTTCATCTACAGGTTCGCTCCAGGAGTGTATCCTCTCCCCACTCCTTTGTATTCTGCATACAGACGACTGTCGGAGCCAGTTTTAGAACCAATATATCCTGAAGTTTGCAGACGACTCAGTTATAGTTAGTTTCCTCTACGATAATGAACCAAGTCATGGCCCTGTGGTTGATTATTTTGTAGGATGGTACAAAAACATGATCCTTCAACTCAGTGTGTCATCGACAGAAGACATGCATTAACTTCCAATGACATCCCTCCCCTCACTCAGAGCACCATTATTGAGGGTCAAGAGGTAGCATCTTGGTTCAATCTCTGATAACAAGCTCACTTTTGAATGCTTAATTGCTTGTAGGAAAGGTCAACTACAACTTTTCTGCTTATGGAAACTTGCCAAGTTTATGCTTACATGTCCCTGATGACTCTTATCGATATATCCTACGCTGAATCAATTGTAACAATTTTCCTCAACAGTTGGCATGGCTGTATCTACATATCAAATCCAAGAGTGCACTGGCTAAAATAGTAAACAGAAGTAACACATTTTTTACACATCCCACAGAGTAGCCTGTCCATTCTGTATAAAGTCAGGTAAGGATGGAAAATTGCATCCTGTCTGATGGCACCCACCCTCTTCATCAGGAGTTTTAATCCTTACCCTCTGTCGCCTG